CAACAGTTATGCTGAGAGGTTTGGGCAAAACCCAAAAATAAAAACAAAATGTATATTAACCAATTAATATTTTTCCACATCAGCCATCCTCATTAAGCTTAACAAACCAGGAAACCACATATTTTCAGCTCTGCTGTTTGCTGCCTATTTGGAAAGTCAGACTTGCACTCAGTGATGTTCAATCAACACTTTAAAAAAAAAAAAAAAAAGAGTGCCAACTAACAGCAGGAAAATTCCATGCAAATGCTAAGGATCGAGCCCTGAAGTACAGTTGAGTAAACACAGTAGCCATCTTCACTGGGAAAACAGTCAAAGCACACTTAATATTCAGCTTCTTCTGCTAAGTCACAGGTATAATGCAGGTTTACTTGGAAATAACTTTTAAAAGCAATGATTCAACTTGGCATTTGGCAGCATGGAGCACTACAGAAAGTTGGCGGGAGCAGACTGAAATTAAACACTTCCTCCTTCCCAAATAAGTGTTTCTGAGTCTATAATCATACTACATTGCTTTCGTGACTAAAATTCTTCAGCTATTCCACAAATGCAAAGGTGTTTACCTCATAATGACTGGTCTATGCAATGTATTTTTAAACTGAATTGAGTTCAGTTGTACTTTAGGTCTCCTTGCACAGGTTGGTTCAAGTTCATTTTGTCAGGAATTCTGTACTCAGAGAGCTGCCCTGGGGACTCAGGCCTGACAACACTCCCTGTCCCAGCATAGCACCTGGCACTGCTACAGCCTTTTACCAGAAAAGGCTCACCACGAAAAGGTACTGACTTGATGCCTTAGGAGCACAGAAAACACCAAGTTGCTTGAATACCACAGACAGGCAACCTGAGCAGTTTCCCACCTTTAAGAAGTAAAATGCAGGATTCTACAGATTGAACTGAGTAGTTACCAAGCAAGTGGCTGCACCCGCATGCACAGTATCTCAGGATTTGAAGCACAGAAATACAAAACCTATCAGATCTGATTCAATCTTTCTGAAAACGGAGCTGATTAAATTAAAAAAAAAAAATTCAAACACTCATACATATAAAGCACTTGTTTCCATTACAACGTCTCAAAAATCAGTGCTCATTGAGCTCAGTATTTTAAGAACCAGTTCCTGAAATAAATGAGGTTTCCCAGGCACACAGACAAAAGGCTCTTCCATCTCTTCAGAAGCACAGGGAATGACATGCAGCAATGAGAGGAGATGAGAACAGACATAAAGGACCTGCAAGCAGTAACTTCCTTCCTCTCACGGCCTAGGTTTGCCACTGCTAGAGGTTTTGCGTAACACAAGTTCTCTAAGCTGCTTGTTTCCATGCAAGCCCCAAACTTGCTGGCTTTAGCCATGGCTGAACAGCTGTGGCACCTGGCCAATCTCCTCAATGCTGGTAGCTGCCCACCCACCCTCCTGACATCCCTATGATTAAGGAAACCACATTGAAAACCAAAAACCTATATGCCAAGAAACAGTTATAACCATACATAAAAGACACCCAAAAAACCCTTACCCAGGCCTCAAGGCAGTCCTCAGGATCACCCCTGCTAAACAGTTCGAAGGCCACACTCGCCCCTTCCTACCTCTGAAGTCCAGCAAATCCTGTACTATTTTCTGCAATGAGGAACATCCTCAAGATGATGACATAAAACACTTCCTCCTTGTGAAAAACTGAAATACAGACTTTCCACAGGCAATTCCTTTGTTTGCTGCTTTGCACAACTTCCCTCCCAGAACACAACCCTCTCACTCTCCTACCATGCCCAAAACCAGCAGCATGCTCGCTCTACATAGGAACGAGAGCCAGCTTTAACCACCAGCTGTGAGCAACCTTCTTGATTCAGCTCACCACACCAGCAAATCACAAAGATTTGCTCTTTTCCTGGTTTAGTTTCCTGATGGTTGAATGAATGGTTATGATTTACCAAGGAGTCAAACACAAAGATGCTGCAGAAGCGCATCATCAGCAGAGATCTCCTCCTTCGGTGGTGACAAATAGGCTGCAAATAATATGAGCTAACCAGGGCCACCCTTGGACATCACCAGTAGCATCATTGCCAGGATAAGATGTTTTTGTTCGCCAACTGCCTTTGCTGGGGAAATTCAATTCTGAGCTTAGAGCTCACATCCTGGGCTGTTCCTGTGAATGTCGTACTACTGCCTTGTGCAGAGGTTCCCACGCCACCTCCTTTAGTGGTATTTTAGAAAGAACAACCTGTGAACCACAGAAAGGTTATAAACTTCAAATGAGGTTTGCAATCCTAAATCCCAAGGATTATAAGTATCTTGCAGCTTAGCATGGCACCTTAAACATAGAAAGTAAGATTTGGGGAATTGCCTCTATTTTTTTTTTGCTACACCGAGCAGTAAATATGATTTTCAATGACGTTCTTGCATGCATAACTTTCCATTATGTATCAAATAAAAAAAACAAAACACAAAGCATGACTCTCAACTCTGAGTCCGGCATGCCAGGAGCGTAACAGTTAATGTTGGAAGCATGTATGATTTTCTCCAAGATTTTTCACATTTACATTCTTCTCGAACATTTTTCACAAAAACTCAATTTTGAACCAGAGCTACACACTGGATTTATTTAACTGATCAAACGAAATTATTCAGTCTGCTGCTGTTCTGCCTCTCCTGCTGCTTAACTTGAATTTTAGATATCAAGATACTCTATTAGTCACAGCTGAAGAAAAGTTCTGCTACCTGCTTAACGGCCATAAAGACTGACTACAAAATAAAGGAGAATTGCAAGCACATTAAAAGGAAATATTGTGACACCTTTCAAATAAACAGTAAATGATATTTTGGTTCCAAGAAAGATGAGTCATAAGAAAATTTACATGTATGCAAGGAGCTTCCTTCACTTTGCTCTGGACAAGACTGAGCATAAAGAACCATGATATAGTCTCATCAGCAACTGAACACATTTTCCAAGTATCTGACCTTAAATGATCCCAACTCCATCAGAGAATAGTAACTGTAAGAAAGCAACATACATTAGTGACACTTCTCTTGGTTAAGCCTTTTGCAAATGTTATTGGGTCTCGTTACGGTGGTGAGGGGATATGAGCTCCTATCTTTAGAAAGGAGTAAGAATTTACAAATTGTATAGGAAAAGAAAACAATTGGGATTAAAATCCAGGAACACCTGTATCCTATTTCCAAACTTAAAGCAGCAGATAATTAGATGCTCGACCATAGAACCACAAAATACCTAATTTAACAAAATAAGGCCGTTTGCTTTAGCACCTAAGTGCAAATGAGATTAATGCCAGTACACTCCATACCAGAATTACTAGGAGAACATTACATCCGTAAAGAATTAAAAACAGAAGCATACACAACCAACTCTGTTAAACAGTACTCCTTAGCAGCACCTGATAGCGACTATTACACTTTTGCAAAGGAAGAAAACCCCTAACGTGGTACTCTGTGGGGAAAAAAACAAACATGCCAAAAAAACCAACCGCCATCCTTGCTACTGTCCTACACGAATAATTGTTTTCAGTTATTCTGATGCGCCTATAAGGAGTTGAGATCTAAGACCCGGATTCAACAAACTGCTTTGCTTATGCTTTAGAAAGCTATTAAGTGCTGAGTGGAAGAACTAGTCACAGTTCCATGAAACAGCTGCCTGGAGAAGTAATTCCCAGCATACTTCATACTGGCACCATTCCCCATTTTCTGTAAACAGTATGTCCCAAGAATTATGCCTGTAGCTTTAGGAAAGTATTGTTGCATATCCTGCCAGACATACCTGCCTTGCAAACACTGCACCACATGGTAAACCAAGGAATATCCAGTGCCAAAAAACAAACAAACAAAAAAAGAACCTATAGTTTTATGATATTCCAAAACGTAACCAAATGTATCTGAAAACAAGCCTTGGAAGATGGAAGTAATGTCAATCAGAATTTCCAAGCACAGCAGCTGCAGCTATTTTACACCTAACATAAAACAGCAGTCCTCAGGATGTGGGGGTGATATGACGTAAGGCTGGCAGATGCCAGTCCCTTCCCACTGAAGAAACTGGGACAGCAATTCACAGCAGATTGATCTAGTATCTCTTTGCACAGAACTAGATCGGATGTAGTGCCCTCTCAGATAGATGAGTAAACAAATCATTAGTTATTTCACAAAGCTAAAAGGCACACAGTTGCAACTAATCAGTTTTTATCCATATGATAAGTCTTACAGTGAATGATGTGCATTAGGAAAGCTGAAGGACCATCTTTTAGAGGAGAAAGGAAGCTTATGTAGAATTTACCCAAACCAAACGCCAAAGCAGTAAACTGAGTAACAAGCAATCATTTATGTAAAAGCCACAGTAAGGAGATTGGAATAAGCATGTTTGTACATTTCCAGATATAACTGGAGCCAGAGGCAATCATGTTTATGTGAGGGAAACAAAAAAACCAGCAACCCTATTGCCTAGCTCCTTTAAGAAATGTGCTTTTTATTCATTGTTGGACATCTAAAGGTATGAAGATCTCAAGACCAGATTTTTCTTTCCCCGCTGTAGTAACATTGTCATTAGCAAGGTATAACTGTATCATCACAATCACCAATTATCTTATCATTTGCCTATACTCTGTCTACTCCAACCAGTTCCATTTCCCATGTGATCTAATGCTGTTAAAAAAAAAAAAAAGAGACATTCATGTAATTACTACTATTCACTTGTGGGTAGAGGGCTGTGCAACCTTTACTTGCAGAAATCCCTACTTCAAGGTATTATGCAAGTCGATGAATTGTTACACACTGCAGTGGGAACCAAGAGTAAAGCTATGAACAGAACCCTCCTAGTTCAGATAACATCTTGCTATTTACTAGTAACAGGTACGATAATGGTATAGTCATGTACACTACAGCAATTTTATGAGATGTGCTCTCATCAATGAAAACTATGTCCTACGGCAAGACAACTAGCAGTTGGTTGCCCACAAGAATAGAGCTACAGACTCCTCTCTACTGTAGAGGCACACCAGCTTTCATTACCTGTACCAAGTTATCAGTGGCCTCTCTCCTATGCAGGCATCACTTATGCATTTGGAAGAAACGCCAAAGGAAGAGCTCCTGAATGCACAATCTTCACCTCAGGTGGACCCTGGTGAGGGTGAGGCAGGCAGGACCACTTCCAGAAGGAGCCAGCTCACAGCCCCATGGGTACACGGGCACTGGATCCGTGTCACTTCCTTTAGCAACAGCACAGCCCCTCCGTGCTGTCTCCCCCACCCACAGCTCCAGTACTAGTGCTTGCAGAAGTGGAAACAGGGAACTGATCCTGTTGAAAACAAACCTGGAAAGAAACAAAAAAGAAACCATTTTTTATTAGGCTGAGTTCCTACAAATTAGCATGCATAAAGGAACAGCCTTAATGCGGACCCTTACTAATCACTGGGGGCCTTACCTGAAAAGCAGAGTGAGAAGTAACCACCAAAACAAACATGATGTGGAAAGCAAACCAGGCCAAAGCAACACAGACACATTCTGCACAGGAACTGTTTCAAGAAAGGATCCCAGGACTGGTTTGACTTATGCTCTAAAGTGGAAATCCAGCTGGGCAAGCAGCTTAGCCATCAGCAAGCGAGACCAGAGATCAGCCACAGTCCAGCATCTTGGACAATTCCACCATACATCACAATTCCTAAGTTTCCTAACTGCAGCTAAGTTCTGGGTTTTTTTTTCTGTGAAACATAAGAGATGAAAGGGTGATAAACTGTCCAATCAGCCAAGTTCCTGCAGATCAGACACAACATTCAATAGGAGAAGGCAAGCTGTTTTGTGGAAAATCTTTTTCCTACTAAGCGAACACACTGGTTCCTAGCAAAGAACTGCAGTTCATTATTAGGAAATTAAGACAGGAAATTGAGGAATAAGGGAATTAAGACTGACTCAGATTTTTTGCCCTGAATTTCATTTAAAAAAAACCCACATTGTTTTGATCAACTTATTTATCATCCTTAGCAGTAGCATGACAAGAGTAACACTTCCCAGGACCTCACGGCATTCAGTGCATCTGTACGCTCAGCACTGCCTGCCTCAAACAGAAGAAGGGAAAAAGTGTATCTACAGCATTAAAACACCAATTTCACAACCACTAAATTGCAATGTGCTGGCGCCAAATTGTTTTTCACTTGAATGACAAATAATGTTTACTCTATAAGATGTGTGGAAACGGGTCCTCAGCTAAAAGTCAACAAATAGTGTAGGCAAGATAGTTTGCGCCCAGGCAAAATACTATAGGCTGTCTGGGTGCTCAAACCATATTGGGAACAACCTCCTGTATGCAAAGCAAATGAAGACCAAAGCAAGGATGAAACAGAGAAAAACTGATCTCATCCCAAAATAAAATTGAAGAATTATGTCAGAAATGTGAGGTAACCAACATGAAATCGTATCACACACATGCCAACAGCTAATGGAGAGCTCGTGTTCAAGCAAGAATTACCATTTCTGAGGCACAGACTCTGTACTTGAAAGGAGGAAGAAATTCATCAGGCAATGTTACGCACACACATCTTTAAAGAGGCATGTCCTACCGCACTGCGCAACAGATAAATACCTATTTTGGCAGTTCAAGTTTGTGCTAAAACAATCTCACAAGCCTTTCTTTTATGCCTTTGAGCAGCCACAAGTCCTCAACATGCCGCTGCTCCTGGGGATGGCACAGCAATGACCAAACATAGGGACATTCCTGCTCCTCCCAAACTGGTAGAGAAGCCCTCAGGCCATCTCAGAATTTACTCAAATCAAAGCCTAAAGAGAAAATTGATCCTGCATAACCCTATTACAGACATGTAAACACAATGATAAGCAGTCCAGATTTTACAGTAACGCGAGGCCTTTATCCAAAGAGCATCCAGAGAATTTTACAGACTGCATATATTAAATCCAAAACAGAGCTTAAATGTAGAACACATAACCAAATATGAAAAGGCTGTTACAATGACAAGTACCTTAAAGAAGGATATGGATTAATACCTGGACAAAAAGATAGAGGCTGATTAAGTTGCAGCCCTTAACCTGCCTGCACGAGGCTGACTTCCACTGGGCTGCCCAGCTGCACAGACCTAGCAGCTTTTTTACAGGTTCTCTTTACATAGGAAAATCCATGCATGGTACACAGTTGAAAGGCATGTGGAACAAACTGCCCCTCCATCCCCCCAGCCCAACACAAGATCACATTAAGCAGCCTTTGACAACAAAATAACCAGAAAAAAAAAAACATACTTAGAAGCATATTAGTGAAGCTCTCCACATATCCACACCGGGGGAAATGGCTGCACATTAATCTCTCTCATTGCTGAGATGGCTCAGCAGCAGTTACAGTGATCAGCACCAACCAAGGGGGCATCACCCAGTGTCTGATGAGCAGGAGCACCCCATGACCGTTATCCACAGAACTCAGGTTGACAGCCTGAGCAAGAGACAAATATTAGAGCAAAAAGCAAAGGAAGCAGTGAAATTTCTACAAAACAAACTGCCCGAGCTCCAGAGAAAAACATTCAAGAACAAGATTGGAAGATTTCCATTAAGCACATTAGAAGGAAAGTACATACTTTCTTTCCTCTCATATCATGCAAAGCAAAGCACGAGCCCAACACTTTCACCATTAGTTACTAGAAGTTTAGAACTGGAATTGTCAACCCAGCTTCTATCTGTGCCATCCCTCTGTACCAAGGAACCAACTCCCATGCCCCTCCAGATTCCCACTTCAACAGTTGATGACTTAATGTCTTTGAAAGCAGACTGCCCTCACTCAGAACCTAAAACCAACACAGAGCCATTAGCTAACCCGAGACCCAGGAGTTTAACAGGCACAAAGCGCTTGTGCGCAAGGCAAAGCCAGAAACTCCGAGCTCAGCAGCTATGCACACAGTGCCCATCATCCAACTGCAAGCCTTGGGAACGTCAGAGTATCACTGAGACAGGCTTTTTTAACACACTAAAATCAGTTCAACATTCAGAGTAAAACCCAGACCGGAAAGACGGAATTAATCATGCCTGAACAACATTAAAAGTAGAAGAGAGACCCTTCAAATGTGCTGTGCTTTTTCCCCTCATAGGAAAAAAATAATCTGAATATGACAGCTTCTATTCCATTTAAGAACAATCAGCATACAGCAGAAATGTTTCTGGCCAGGTATATCAGTTTAAAGAGCCCTGGTATCTCCTAGAGCCTGCACGCAGCAAAGAAGCAAAAGCCACTGACCGAGTGCCAACAAAAAGCCACTCTGCTTCATCTTGGTGTGTGCCCAGGGGTTTTATTAAAGAGTCCAGCTCTCACAATCGAATTTATCAAGAATTTCCAGATGGATATTTCCTAAAGATGGAGAAGCAACAAGAAAAGAATCCAAACACTAGGGTCCAAGCTTTACAACACTTGAAAATAGTGTTTTACTTAGAAGGCTAAGAATTTTGGGTCTGGCTTCAACATCATAACCCAAGAATCCTACAGCTGTGGCACCCAAGGAAGCCAAGAACTTGCCCTGACCTTCAAATTCTGCTGTGTGGCTCCACTTTTTCTTCAAGGGAACCTTCACGGTTCCGCATCCCCAATCCTCTGTCAGCCAACGTCTCATATACAAATCATCTGTCCTGACAGCCCCTCAGTCACAACACTGCACAAACAGAAGACGTATGTGCATAAATCACTAATAGAAACACCAGGTTTGGTAACTATGAAACATCACAACTGTGCGAATGGCTCAGCAAAGACAAGTGCTGAGTGGAGCAACTGCAGCTCTCGCAGATCTGCCTCCTCCGACACAGTTAAAAGTCTGGATGGATGTGTAACAGCGGTTAACATGACGTGATGCCATTTGTACTTCCAGATTGATAGCAGTCTATTAATGCTCGTGAGTTTATCAGTACAAGTCTTAGTCAATGAAAAAAGGAGGAGCGCTGCCTTCTGCACAGTTGAATAATCCTCCTGATCTTGTTAGGAAAGTTCTCGTTCCTGATGCAACATCTGCCTTGACTACACGTTGTAAAGAACATCAAAATGATGCAGCTGAGATGAGCACATCCTCTCCCAGACACAGCTGTGTCACTCTGAGGCTGCTGCCCTTCCCCTCGCTGCTGCTGCCGCCACCGCCCACACCAATGCATCACTGGGAAAAATGGAAGAACTTTTTCCAGTTTGAATTTCCATCAGCCAAGCCAACGTAAAATAATTTGCCATAGGTGATTTGATAGAAGGGCACAGATCCAAAAAAACCTCAAGCTAATTCAAGTCAATCCACGGCCCCACCTCCCACTGCCACCCTCACCGAGCCAATGGTCAGAAACACGATCCAGCCAAAACCTAACAAAGCAAGAAGCAATTCATTACACCAGCTTGACTTCACTCCCGGACTTGAACTCCCAGACACAAAGACTCCCGTGCCAGCATGGAAAGACGCACGGACAGGAAGGAGGATGAACGACCGCAGCCCCAGTTTAAACTGCCAAGTTTCTAGATGAGCTTAGGCAAACCTAGGAGAGTTGCTTCAGAGAAGAGGTCACAACCTCCTCCCCCATACAGGCAGTAACATTCACACAGCCACGCAGACAGCCTGTTCAGGCAGCCGATCCAAATGAAGTCAAATATTTTTCAGTACCACCATTTTCAGCTGGATCAGCAAAGAGAGAGTGACAGAAAAATAACTCTTTTGGTGAAAGTACCACCAGAGACATCTGCTCTGGTGGCAATGCCCTAGAGGACACGTTAGAAGATTTAGCATGAGCAAGTCCATGCTCAGTCTTCTACAGAAAGAGTAAGACAACAGGCTCTGATGTCGCTCAGCAAAATCGAGATCCCTGGATTAAACAAGTATCTATAATTTTAATGTGTTCACTGCTGAAGGAACCTCAAAAGCAAAATTAAAGCCCCAGTTTCACATAAGTTTAAACCTAGCTTGCTTAGTAAACTGCTACAATAACATCTAATCTACTCTAAAAAAGAAAAAAATACCAGGTCAGAGGGTCAGATGAGTACAATTGCATGAGCTAAGACTGCCACAAGAATCCCTCACCATCAAGGTTCTGCAGAACATCTTTTCCAGAGGTAGAAGACTTATTTTTCTATAACATTAGGACAACTTGGTGCTTTGGTTTTGTTTCTTTGTTTTTGTTTTTATATTAAGCAGCTTCACCAGTATTAGTAGCAGAATAAAGCCAGCTACAGGCGGAATTCGAGAGCCCTGCGGAGTGCTGAAGCAAGTGTTAAGAACACTATTAAAGCTGCGTGTATTCCTTCAAGCCCCTATCACTGGGGAGGTAAGTACTTTTCCACGCATTTTTACTGTTATTTCAGTAAGCTTTTCACCCACCACTCCCATTACCGGAGAAAGAAAAGCACTTAAAGATCATTCCAACACCAAGCAGCTAAACCATGCTACAAAACATAATGCTGGGGGGGTCTTGTGAGTTCTGAGAGCCCAGTGTGGCTTGTTGGTTTGTTTTTCTTCTTCTTAAATGCGTAATGCTGTCGACTACTAGTGCAATGCCAGAGGGCTTTACAACACCAAAATAAGGAGATAAATGTGTCTACTCTGCCTAGTTTACATGTGCCTTCATCTTCCACGAACTTGAGAGCAGTAATAAGTGCAGGGAAGTCATTCCAAGGCTGAAAAATAAGTTCTCAGCTAATAAGGATTTAAATGTTTTATTTGAATTGCATTTCTTCTTTAGGCTTTAGAAAGAAAGAAAAGTTCTTTGATGTGTTATGTTTGGAGCTGTACAAATCAGTTTTCACTGAGCCTTAAAACCAACACCTTACTCAGCTACAGATGAAACAGTTTACCGTCGCATAACCCAGGCTATCAAAACAACTTAAGAATCATGGGCAAGGATGAACACATCTCACATTTGTTCTTTTGGACTTTGCTCACGTTATTTTTTGTATTCCTTCCATGAGATTTTTGCTAGGGAGAGAAAAAAAAAAAAGCAACATTTCCACAGAGAATTGCCAAGAGATGAAGAAATGGAAAACACACTAATGAGCAGAAAAACAATACTGCTGCTCTATGGTAACTATTAACTTCTGCATAATCGTAGAGAGCGTGTTAGCAGTAACCATAGATCAATAAGTCAAATAGAAGTGATGAGTCAGAAATCCATTTCAATATTTACACTATTTCTACAAGGCATAGCTAGGGTAGTACTCCAGCCAAACGGAATGACTGTGCCTTCCATCTCAGCCCCCCATGCCGGACCTCAGCTGGAGAGGCCAGAAAGCCAAAAATGAAAACCACAAAACCAACTCCACCGACATCACAGCCAGACGCTGTGGTGGTTAGAAGCATCTCCCACTACAGACGACTGGATCGAGAAGCATTGACAAGACCCTCGATAACGCAGTAACACACGCACTGAATAGGAATCAGAGCAAGAGCTCCCTAATCATTTCACAGAGCACTAATGAGCAGGTTACATAAACCCACCGGGCTTCAGGCAGGGCTGCTGCGAGACAGGGGCTCTCCTCTCAGGGATGCACCACGAAGCCGGGCAGCGGCTGCCCGCTGCTCCCTCCGGCCCCAGCCGCACGCTGTTGCTCGCCCATCCCCGCCGCCTTCTGCCCGATAACAGCTCCCATTGTGCAGCTGCTCCACGCAGGAAGGCGAAGCCGAGAGCCGCGCTCCCAGGTGGGAAGACACGATCCTCACCTCAAGGGCCGCTCCAACAGCTCCGCCGAGCATCGAACCGAGCGGCGGGCGCCTCGGCCCCACAGGATCCCCCCACGGTGAGGGCACCCCGCCGGGCCGGGATTGAAGGGCTGAGGGCTGCCACTCCGCACCGGGGCCGCTACAAAGCGGCGAGGGCCGGGCGGCACCGCGGGACCCCCGTCCGGGCGCCGGGCCTGGACGAGGGCTCGGTCAGCCGGCGGCGGAGGAGCAGGAAGCGCCGCGGGCCGCTCCGCGGGGCCGGGGGGCTCCGGGGTCTCTCCGCCCGCCGCCGGGCCCTCGCGGCCGCTCCCGCCGGCTCCACCTGCGCCGCGCTCGGCGCCCCACCCCGCGCCCGGCCCGCCGCCCCCTGCCCCAAGGCGGGCGCCGCAGGGCGTCGCCGCCTCCCCCGGCCCCTCACGTACTTCCCCGGGGCGCCGCCGCCCGCGCCCCCCCTCCCTCGGTCCCCTCAGGCTCCGCTGCCCCCCGCCCGCAATCCCCCCCCGCGGCCCCTCGCCCGCCGCGGCTCCGGCCCGGCCTCACCCCGCCCCGCGGCCCGGAGGCGCTCACCTGCCGGCCGCAGCCGCCTCCCTCCGGCGCCTCCTCAGCCGCCCGTCGCCACTGAGCAGCGCCGCCGCTCCCCCCTCCCCGCGGCGGCTCCCGTCCCCGCCGCCCGCCACGCCCATCCCGGCCGCCCATTGGCCGCCCTCCCCGTCGCTCTGCCCTGGGATGGCCGCGCGGCGCTTCCCGTCAAAGCTCCGGCCCCGCCCCTCTCCGCCCACGGGCCCCCGAGTGTTTTATTCACTCAGGGGCTTTGGCGCCCCCACTCCATTCTGCCGTTCCTGATTGGATGAGGCGGTCGAAAGGGAGAGCCGCGATAGGCTGCCGGAGGTGCCAGCTGCGGCTGTGGGCCCGCCTCCGCGCTCGGCGTTAGGCCGCGTTGGGGCGGGGGGCAGCCGGGGTGCGCGGAGGTCGGGCGGGCGTCGTCCGGGCCGCGGCGGGGGCTTCGCTGCAGCGGCCCGCGCACAAATCTGCCTCCTGCCTCCGAGCCCAGGCCTGGAGACACTCGGGGCGGTGCGGCCGCCCCGCAAGCAGGGCCCAGCTTTCCACAGAGCGGCTCCCGGGTTTCGCTGTGCCGTCGGCTTCCTTCCCTCCCTACAAAAGCAGTCACCCCTGCGGGCAGATGTCAGCTGCGGCAGCGTGCGGGAGGGGGGCGAAGGAGCGTCGCGTTGCCAGAAGCATCCCTCGCTATCGCTGTCAAGGCTTTTCCGCAGGTCGGCCGCCTTCCCCGTGTGAGGGCTGTGAGAGGCCCACGCACGGGAGGCCCCAGGCCGGCGGCAGCACGGCGGGGAGGCTGGTGGGGCCGGGTGGAAGAGCAGTGCTGCCGCGGGGCCTGGTGCCACCCTAGGGCACGGTGGTGCCTCGGTTACCCGGTCAGCCGCCCCTAAGAACCGCTTCCTTCCACACGGGCTGCGATAAAATGTGCCATTTTCTCCACAGACGTCTTCCATCACCTGGGTTACGGGGAAAATGTGAGCGGTTCACTCTTAAAGCCCAAAATGTTGTTCCCCGGCCTCCTTCCCCAGTGCCAAAAAGCACAGGCGTGCCACTGTTCTCAAAGCAGGGAGGCAGTGCCTCGCATGGCAGACACCCCGAGGCTGGCTGCTCTTAGCCGGCCGGGCTGAAGCATTTTACCGGGGCTGACTGTTCCCAGCCGCTGCCTCCTCTCACCGGGCATTCGAATGGCTACTTAATCCAAAATGCAAGCTGAAATAATTCCTGGAGCAATCAGCTGGAAAATAAATAAGCAAATAAATAAATAAATAAACGGACAAACACAACACCTCAGGAAATTGAAACGCAAAGATTACCTAAGGTTTCTATGGATCATTATCTCGTTATCTCCGCTATCTCCTCCCTGCATGCACCAGTACCCCATGCTCCTCTTTGTTCCTGAATCCAGCAAAGAAAGAGTGACAAAGAACATGGGCTATAATGTGATCTGGTGCACGCCCGGAATAGAACACAAGGGAACTGGAATCAGTGCTCATTTCAAAATACGGTGTGCAAAAATCATTTACGTTGGAGGGACAGAAGTAGGAGGATGACCCAAACTCAGTTTCAGACTGATGCTCTGTCCCCTCAAGTCACCATGTTTGAGAATTAAACTAAGAAGAAAATATATAAATATTCTTACATCTCACGTCATTCTGCTCAGAAAGCAAAACCAAAGCAGATAGCTGCTCTCCTTCTCACAGCTGCCTCTGATACTTTCAGAGCGCTGCTCTCAGACAGCAGCACAATGCAGCAACGTTTCAGCCAGTGTCCCAAAATGGCTAGGCAGACATTTCTACCAGCCCGAAGATCTTGTGTAGTTACAGAAACTGGAATCATTTCTGACCTGGCATAGCTCTTAATATGTTGCATTCCCCATGACGTTGGTTTAACTCTTAATAATATTCACTACCTCAGGGCCTGTGACAATGCTTCTGATAAAGCATGGTGCATCACACTTCAATTTCTAAGCAATTTCTAAGCATCTCTGTATTATAAAAACTCTGCTCTTCAATGAGAATGATCTGAGGACAAGTAAAGAAAAGGATAGGACATCCTATTGTAACTAAAGGTCCTGTGTATGCTTCAGCTATATGTAGCTTTTACAAATATTTATTAAAGATTTAATTTGATTTGTTGCTATACTACTTATCTGCTCAGCTATTTGTATCTCCCCAGCTCTCCATATAGTCATTGGTGACTAAAGGGGAAGGGGTTGTTTTGGTGGGAAAGAAAAGGAAGATGACCCTAGAGGTCACCTTAATAGAACCAGCTGAGCATCCAACACAGCAAATGGCACACTTGCTACACTGACCTGTGTGTCTCTCTCTGTACAGTCAGTCTTCATGCACAAAGCTGCGATGAAAATTAGTTCTCCAAGGTCCTATATTGGAAGCAGGGCTTCAGGGTGCTTTAATTTTTTTTAGTAACGAAGAAACAGAAGAGACATGATAGCACATCAAAGATATCCAGCCCTACTGCTCCTTTCCCACCTTTTAAGAGAAGAGCATTCTGTGGAGCTGGCTGTGTATGTTGTGCCCACATGCTCCCGATAGCGGTACCATTTTAGAGAAGATCCTTTCTGGTCTCACTGGGACAGCAGGATAGTATGCTATCCCCTAAGGAGCTGAGAGTATACTACACACGCGCTCATGATAATACAAACTCCATGTCCTCAGCACAGATACCCAGAGGCTTAACATCATCCCTTCCTATTGGCTACCTAAAACAATGTTGGCGATTAAATCTCCCTTCTCTAATCGCACTGTAATACTACCCCTTCTAGGAACAAGCCATACCAGTATAAATACTACAACATAAGCATTTTTATGTTGCTATAACTGCACTCAGCCCGGAGGAATTCCACCTTTTTGACATCAGAGGTAAAATGTGAGAGCTTTTTTATGTGACTGAGCACTGAAAATGTTCAAAACCATTTCAAAAAGAGTGCCTCTAGTAGCAATACAAATCTACTATGGGAAGCAAAAACCGAAGTGTTACACGCAGGCTTTCTCCTGTTGTTCAGTGAGCAGACCTGAACAATATGGTTGCTAAACCAAAACATCCTGTTTGTATGAACATTGCCATCTTGGTTGTGCTGCGTCAGAGGTGAGGGAATGATTTCAGAATGCCTCAGAAAAAAATCAGTACAGCTTTTTTTTGCCCACATATCAGGAAAGATGAGATGAAGATTTTTGCATCATTTCTGAGAATGAGAAATGTACCAAAGAACCAACTGCTGAATGGCACTACTATACGTCAGAACTGCTACATGTTCCTTTTGAAACAGTGGGCATATATAGTGGTAATGTAAAACGCTTTGCAGTTACCATAATTAATATGGCAAGGATCTGAATAGTAAGAATTCTTTATATTCTTTCTTCCACAGAGAAGCCTCACCCAAACAGCTCGCCAAGAGCCAGCTCTGTACAGTGCAAAGCATATTCTCTACCACCAGACACACGATGCGTGCAGAACAGTCTGACTATCCCTTTTATCTCAATTATCTGTGTGTGAGTAATCTTACAGGGCAAATACTTCATTCAGATTCTCTTTGCTTCCATTTTATGACATGGATTTTCATGGCCGTTTACTTTTCTCCTCCTGCTGAAAAGCAAGAAGATTGGAGTCTCAGAGTCTGCAGCTTTATGTTTAGTCACTGCCCACGGAGTCACTGCAGATGGTATCTGCTCAGCGCTACCACATGCTGGATAACATATATTAAGAGCAAAAAACCCTCATGAAATTGCTTTCAAAATGCTTACAAAGTAAGCCCCGTGATCCCAGTAGGAATGAGGTGACAGCTCAGTAGAAGGTCCTACTCAAATATTTTATGTAATTTCAGCTTCAAGTTACAAAGAGTGTATTTTAGCATCACATAGGACAAGAGGATGTATCTGTGCTTAAAAAGATAATTTCATAGGGCAGCCTGGACCTTGTAATTATTATTTTTATAAACTTGTTTTAATTGGACTATTGCATGGCAGGGAAGGCTTATTTTCTCAGTGGGACTCTGTGTGCCAGAGAACCAGGATTAAAGACCGCAACCAGTCACCGAATAAGAAAATCACTGAGAAAAGAGAAACAGCTGGAGATAGGCCAAAGTCTCTGCCAAGAGATGCTTCAGTGAGTGAGTGCATTCACTCTGATGAGCGGCCCAGAGGATAGCTCTTGAGAAACAGTTCCTGAATTAGCTTTTAGTCTTGTTATCTGGCAGTGAACTTTATAGCTTTCACAAAGAGGAGCAGGCTTCACAATCCTGCCCAGTGTCCTTCCAGTGATGACATACTGGATGTCATTGGGCTGTATGAGAAAGACTGTCAGGACTCTAGTTGAAGAAACCTGTTAGTGAAGGCTTGAAATGTTCTTTTTCCTTACTGGGTATTGCTTTTGGCACAAGAACAAAACCGACAGCGCAAGAGGAAGGCTGCCAGCAAAATGATCATGAGAAAAAGGATTAAACCTAGTTTAACTTTCTAAAAGTGACCGATTTACATTAGCAGTTTGCCAGGGACAAAATGAATGTGCCGGGCAGCGTGCATTGTGGTGAACAGAGAAGTGAAAATTGTGGAATAAGCCTCATCGTGCAAAGAATTTTGCCTTTTCCACTCACCAGTGAAGACTGATCGTAGCTCTGCAGGATCAGGCTTTATATGATCTGCTCTTCAAATTTAAGATTTCAATTCTTTGAATCATGAGTGGTAAAAGGGTAATACATCAAATAAGCCCTGCATCTCTTTGAGGTGCCATTTCCTTACTTCTTCTGAACTCATTTGTGGCTCTTTAATGAGTTGTACTCCACACATTTTTTATGTCCTCTTAAATAAAATGTGTGTGGCTCTTGGCAATGCAGCCTATATACTGATAACATCTGAGTGACTTTGTGCTAAATTCTAATTAAGACACTTAATTGAGCCTCCAGTTGCTACTATGTCTACATGAGCAGCAGCTGGGGACCACCTAATCATGCAAAGATCTGTGCTACTTTCCCTATGTTTATTTAAAGAGCTTTACGTGACACTCTACTTTCTTTATGACAAATTCCCTTGAAATATTGGACAATGAATGGAAGCAGCATGGAGACCTTTTGGCTATTCCTAGACAACCATCTGAGTATTCTGTAAGCAATATTAAAGCTCCCTCTTTGAGCCTTAGGTCAAAATCCTTTCTTATGTGGCACAGAAAAATAGCAACACGCTTCTTTCTTGAAAGCCTCTACTATTAGAAAGGCTCAACTGTCAGAAGAAATGTGTTACACAGATCTCACTACCCTTATTTGCTACTACATCCTTCACTTTGGGACTTCGTTACACATCAGGAACTCCAATGGCAGTCATCTATCTGTCAGCATCAGAAGGAGACATTTGTGCCAAGATCTGAGCCCCAGAGTGAGACTTTGAACCCAGCGGGCTGGTAAACACCCAGGACAGCACGGCTGGACTCAGTGCCGCTCTCAGAGCAGCTCGGGTCAGGCTCCGCACAAGCACTCAGCTTCTGAGAAACGTTTACACTTGAGTAAATTAAACAGAAACACAAACAACACCTCACAAGCCCGGACCTTTCAAAGTCTTTTTGCCCCCAAAGCCTACTTAGCCATGCTTACATACAATTCAAGCATACAGTAGCCAAACTTCTACTGTATTTCAAAGCTGCTGCATCTTGGTTTTGTGCAGGGCCCAGCTCCGCTGATACGGTTTCAGCTGATAAGATTATTCTGGTAAGCGGGGCTTAACCTTGGAAAACAAAGAGCGGTTTGAAACGCAGCGCTCACCCTCCCTTCCCTCACAGCACACGGACGCGCAGCCCGCTTTCCCTTCCCTCCCATTTGGAGCCCCACCCGCGGCAGTAACCCCGCCGAGGCCATTCCCCACGCGCACCGCGGCGCTCCCACGCGGCGGCGGGCGGAGCGGCATCGCGGAGCGCCGAGCTGCCCCGCCACCTGCCGGCACGGCACGGAGCTCCGGGAATCGCCGCGCAGCTCTAACAGAGCTCCGCGAGCCCAGGCCGCTGCAGGGCTGCGCTCTGCTGGCGCTCGCGCGTCGGCCCGGCGGAGACCCTGGCAATGCCGAGGGAGGTCAGGGGAGCGTCAGGTCCGAATTCTCCTTCCAGCCCAGGCCTGTTACGCTGCGTGGCGCACGCCCCGTGAGCATTAGCTGCTTATTTACGTTCAGTAGACGCCGATATTCAGGTCTACGTGAGGGTAGTGCCGCCTTTATGAACCAGCAGCACGCGTGGGTAATCGCTCCTTAAACCCCCGGGGCTAACGGAGTCTCCGGAGATACATCTCCCGTGCAAAATCCATTGCCACAAATTATCCGAGTCCGCCAGAGATTCCTCTCACGGAAGCACCGTACGGCGAGCCTCTGCTACCGCAGTCTGCTCGCGATCAGAAGCGCACCCACGTACGAACGCGGCGCCATTTTCCACGCGCCCTGAGCAGCGCCTGGCGGCATGGCGCCTCTCCTTTCCCCCTTCGGCAGCCGCTGAGCTGCAGAGGGCCGGCACCGCCATTCTGTTCCCGGCTCCGAGCACAGCGGCGGAACGGAGAGAGCGCGGACTGACAAACGTGCCGGTCATGCCGGGAGCGAACGTGGCAAAAGGGAAGGCGGCGCGGCGGGGCAGCCCTTTGTTCGGGGGGACCGAGGCCAACCCGCGCTGCCCGCAGTCCCGCGAGGCCCGGCGCTCGCCCCGCAATCCCCGCCGGAAGCAGCCGCGCCGGGAGGGGCGGGGCTGTGTGGCGGCCATGGCGGCGTGCGGCGCGGAGGAGCGGCAGCGGGCGGGACGGCTCTCGGCGCTGTCGGTGTACCGCCGGGCGGCGGGGCCCGGGCGGCTGGAGCGGCGCCGCCGCGGGACGCCGCTGCCCGCGGGCGGTAAGCGGAACAAAGCGCGGCTGAGGCGCGGCGCGGCGGGAGGAGGCGGCCCGGAGCGAGCTGCGCCGCCGCAGAGCGCCGCCGTCCCCAACCGCGTGGAGCGGGCCGGGAGCCCCGAAGCCAAGCGGGGAGACCTTAAGACGAAAGCGAGCGGCCCGCCGGCCGACGCTCCGGCCGGAAACCTCGAAACCAAGTCGCCAGGAGGCCCTTTGACGACCTCGGGCGGCCCGCGGGCCGAGACTCCGGCCGGGAACCCCGAAGCAAAGCCGCCCGGAGACCCCGCAACGAGCCCGGGCGGCGGAGGCGTGCCGGGGCTGCTCCGGCGGCTGGGGCGGCTGGAAGACAGCCGGCGGCGGGCGGCAGAGCTGTTCCGGTGGCTGGTGGCGCCGGTGGCACCGGAGGAGTTCGCGAGGCGGCACTGGGAGCGGGCGCCGCTGCTCGTGCAGCGGGGTGACCCCGGCTACTACGCGGGGCTGTTCTCCACGGCTGACTTCGACGCCATTCTGCGCAGCGGTGACGTGCGCTTCGGGACCCACCTGGACGTGACCAGCTATGCTGAGGGGGTGCGGGAGACGCACAACCCCGTGGGCCGGGCGCTGCCCGCCGTCGTCTGGGACTTCTACCAGAACGGGTGCTCCCTGCGGCTCCTCAGCCCCCAGGCCTTCTCCACCACTGTCTGGCACTTCCTCTCCATCCTGCAGGAACACTTTGGGAGCATGGCCGGGGCCAACACCTACCTCACGCCGCCAGGCACGCAGGGCTTCGCCCCTCACTACGATGACATCGAGGCCTTCGTGCTGCAGCTGGAGGGCAAGAAGCACTGGCGCGTTTACAGCCCCCGGACGAGCTCAGAGGCACTGCCCCAGTTCTCCAGTGCAAACCTCACGCAGGCAGAGCTCGGTGAGCCCCTGCTGGAAGTGGTGCTGGAGGCTGGAGACCTGCTATACTTTCCCCGGGGCTTTATCCACCAGGCCGACTGTCTGCCGGACGCACACTCGCTCCACATTACAGTCTCCTCCTACCAGAGGAACTCCTGGGGAGACTTCTTGGAGAAGCTCCTTCCTGCTGCCCTGCAGATGGCCCTGGAGGAGGATCTTGAGTACCGGCAAGGGCTTCCCATGGACTGCCTGGGGTACATGGGGGTTGCCAACTCAGATGCAGTCGATGCTCGCCGAACAGCATTTGTGGAGAAAGTGCAGCACCTGATAAAGAAACTTGTTGACTATGCACCCATTGATGCTGCCATGGATCAGAGGGCTAAGTCGTTTCTTCACGACTGTCTCCCCCCAGTGCTTACACAAAGTGAGAAACAGCTGAGCGTGTATGGCTTTCCAGCCCGGTGGCATGATGGAGGGCCTCGCAATGTTGATATACTAATAACAAAAGACACAGAAGTACGTCTTCTCCATCATGGCATTGTTAGATTGTGCAACGAAGAAGCAGGCGTGATGCTATATTACACAACAGAGAACTCAAGAGTGTATCATAAGGAAGACCCCAAGTACCTTGAGATAGATCCTGAGTACACAGACAGTATTGAATTTCTCCTGTCCTCCTATCCAAACCACGTCACCGTGGATACCCTCCCATGTGATGCCTTGGAGGACAAGATTTCTCTAGCCACGCTCCTGTTTGAGAAGGGCATTCTGACTACTAAGAAGCCACTGGTGCAAGTGTAACTCTTATTTTTTAACAAAATAAAAATACATTTGTTTAGAAAATACTGTCTCTTGTTTTCACATTACAGCTGCTGGGTGTTAATGCGCAGTCTGATCTCAGCATCTGACCTGGAAGCAGAAGGGCTTTTTGACCTGAGTAGAGAAACAATGTGATCTGATTAAAATAAGCATCTGCTTTAAGAGCAGCTCTGTACATTGCTTTGCCAGCCGTATTACTACACGTTAAGTAACTTGAGAAAGCAATGAACTTTTTTTACAGTCTGTTAGTGTTTTTCATTTATTTTTTTTTAATTTTTTTACAAACTGTTAGTGTTTTTCAAGTATTGTAAAGCAGCCTGAATGACGGTGGGAAGTACTCTTACTACTTACTTACATTCAGATCTGGTGATGGTCACTGTATTTGCAGTGGGAGGTGCTATTTGGGTATGATCCCATAAGAAAGACTAAGACTTGGCGAGGTAACAATTTAAAAATGCTATTAGAGCTAACATTAAGAGCACTGATAGTCTCAGGTCCCTTTAGATACTGAGCATCAGACAGGACTCCGACCCACGTACACAATGCCATGCAGATAGCACATAGCAGAGATCCTTCTCTGTTGGTCACTGAACCTATTACTGGATTTTCTTAAGGGAAACAGCTCTATTTATCATGTTTATAATCAGGCAGAAATGATATGTGCAAGAAAACTTGCTGCACTGTTAATATCTAACAAGATATTTGCTGTTGATAGTAAACTGGGAGGAGCTGTTGACTCTCCTGAGGGTGGAGAGGCCTTGCAAAGGGATCTTGACAAATTAGAGGGCTGGGCAATCACCAGGCACATTAAATTTAACGAGCAAGTGCTGAATTCTGCACCTCAGATGGGGCAACCCTGGCTGTACATACAGGCTGGGGAACAAGAAGCTGGAGAACAGTCATGTGGAAAGGGATCTAGGTGTTCTGGCTGATGGCAAGTTGAACATGAGTCAGCAGCATGCCCTGGTAGCTAAAAGGGTGAACTGTACCTTCGTGTACACCAGGCTCAGCACTGCAAGCCACATAAGGGGAAGGATTGTCTTGCTCTGCTCTGTTCTGGTATGGCCCCACCTTGACCTCTTTGTACAGGTTTGGGCACCACAATATAGGCTGTAAAACTGTTAGAGAGTGTCCAAAAGAAGGGTACACAGATGGTGAAGAGTCTAGAAGGGAAAATGTGAGGAGTGGCTGAGGTCCCATGGTTTGTTCAGCCCAGAGCAGAGAGGTCTGAGGGGAGGCCTTGTGGTGGCCTATAGATCCACACAAGGGGAGTGGATGGGCAGCACTGGTCTCTGCTCTCTGGTGACAGTGACAGAACCTGAGGGAATGACATGGATCTGTGTCGGGGAGAGTCAGGTTGGGTTTTAGGAAAAAGTTCTTCACCAGAGGGTGGTCGGACCCTGGCACAGGCTCCCCAAAGCAGTGATCAGCACTAGGCCTGCAAGGTTCAGCACTAGGCCTTCAATAAATGTCTGGACAGTGCTCTCAGAAATATGGTTTGAACTTTGCATGGTCCTGTGTGGAGCCGGAGATGGAATCCATGCTCTTTGTGGGTCCCTTCCAACTCAAAGTGCTCTACAGTTCTACTGTACAGGAAAGGCCATGCAGGCAGCATACTCAACAGCACTGAATGGGAGTTACTCACAGGCTTCTCGAGTCAAAAACAGCTGACCAAGTGAGTCCTGCAGTTAGAGGGCCTGGAGGCCATGCTGTATGTGGAATGTGGCACATGCCTGGTCGTGCTCAGGTTAGTTGTACTGTGGATCACTGATTTCTTGATGTACAATGGTCTTCTGGTCATGATAACCACACTGATTTCCACTGAGAAAAATGAGATGCCTAAATCACAGAATCACAGAATTGTACGGGCTGGAAGAGACCTCTAGAGATCATCTAGTCCAAGCCCCAGCAAAGCAGGCTCCGTAGAGCAGGTTGCACAGGTAGGCATCCACACAGGTCTTGAATAGCTCCAGAGGAGACTCCACAGTTCCCCCAGGCAGCCCATTCCAGTGTTCCATCACCCTTACCATGAAGAAGTTCTTACATACATTTGTGCAGAACTTCCTATGCTTCGGTTTCTGGCTCTTTCCCCTTGTCCTGTCTCTACACACTGCTGAAAAGAGTCTGGCCTCATCCCTTTGCCTCCCACACCTTAGATATTTGTAGACATGTTATTGAGGCCTAGTGACAAACTGAATTCTGTCTTGCAACAGTGAAGTGGCTGTGCCATTTAACACTTCCCTGAGCTGTTCCATTAATTTCTTTTGCAAGACACATGCCCCCAAGTGCAGGCTATCTGACTGATGTACTCTTATATTTGAGTCCTTCCACATGAGCTAGGAAATGGCTGCATATGACCCGACTTCATAGGTTGTTTCTCATATTTCTCTAGTAAACCCCTGTTCACAGATGTGCCAATACAATACCAGTAACATTGAAAAGAGGGGGACTGCAGCTGTGCCTTTCCCTGAATCTGTTGCTCCAAGGATAAAAACTAGTAAGCCTGAAGGCAGATTGCTTGTGCCTTGTGTTTGGACTTACCATTTGGAAACAGTGCCTGTGGCAGTTGACCTGACAGGATTTGCAGCTACGGCCTGTTTCGCAGCAAGACACCAGGCCCGAGCAGAGCTGCCAGCCTTTGGAGATGCTCCCACAGTGCCAAAGGACCAGCTGTCATGAGCTTGCCCTGCTGCAGTCACTAGCAGAGCTGCAGCTATGGCTCCAAGCAGCCTTGATGTCTATCAGCACTCGGGTGTCCCTCACTTGCAGTAACTCTGCGTGCACGTAGGATGGTATGGACAAGGACCATTTCAGTGGGGTCCACAGATCTCCCCAATGTGGAGCACTAGGATTCACCAAGCAGCCAGAACTTCCCTGCCTCATCAGGCAGTAGGGTTGACTGTCACCCCTGCTGCTTGATGCAAGCCCTCTGAAAACAATAGTCTGAGGGATCTGGGAAAGTGTTTAATCAGGCCAAATTATGGCTAATAGCAGGAAAAGCTCAGCATGCCATAAGGCAAGGCAAGGCTTGCTTGGACTGTATCCCTGGGATATACCCAACAGATGCCTGCTATATGTGCCTGTTCCTCCAGAAGCACTGGTGTCTGAAGTGCTGGAGTGCAGCAATACAGAGCAGGGATGTGTACTGAGGTAAATGAAGCAAACACAGCAGAAGACCTGGTGGGCGCCAACACCCCTATATATTCTGTGCAACTCCTCAGCATATCTCAGTATCCCCACCAGTTACCTTCAAGTGCAGTCCAGCTACAAAGTCGTGCTGACATTTGGCTCGGGTTGTATTCAGTCCAGCATTAGTTGACTGAATCTTGAAGGCAGCCTTTGAAGTACTGAGAAAACCGCTCTTCTCAACAAGCTCTAAAGGTACAAGTCCATTTGCAACTCCTCCTCCTCACTGCACAGGCAAGTTATTTCTCCAAAAGGAATTATTCTGTTAAACAAATAAACACAAACCTTGTAACTTCAAAGAAAGAAAATCCCCAGTGCTGAATCTCCTTTCTCACCATTGTACCAAGTGACAAGGGGTCAATTTTGAAACAAATGACCTTCTGAGGTGGGGGACAGGGCCACTGGAAGTTCACTTAAGACCAGGAAGATGCTTGCAAGAGATTTAGGCTTTGTTCTACCCTGAGCATGCCTAGGTCTGAAGGACCTAAGCTAACAGATGCCCTTTCATTTATGGAATTACTGTTGTTCACTCCTGTACCAATTTAAACCCAATAACATGACTTCACATAGAGCTGCCACTAGAATTGCATTTACATTTCCTGTGATTTCCCTGATCTTTCTCAATCAGACATTAAGAAAAGGAATAGTATTTGAATTGATCTTAACTGCATAGATTATATGCAATATGCTGTTATCTCCCTGGTGGTTTGTGAACTTCAGATAAATGTCTGTACTTTCCAATGAACTATGGTCTCCTCATCTATATACCATCTTCAGCTCTTTGGTACAGAGATTTCACCACGTATACAGTGAATGCCTCATCTCAAATGGAAACATCTCCAACTGCTAAATTGCAAAAAGTATACAATGGGGGGTGTTAGAAGAAACGTGCTGGTGTCCTCAGTTAAGAGCTTTGAGGCTGTTGGGCATAACATCTTCCCTCGGGAAAAGCTGTGTCTTCTGTACCTTGGGTTCACCTGCCCTCTGGAAGGACATGCTCTGCCTGGTAATTTCTACTTCTGGTGCCAGTGTGCTCTGACCATCCAAGAAACTCTGCTGCTTTCTATAATCTCCTCCCAAAAGATTTCTATCTTCAGCTTGGTACTTGGATTGAAAAATCTTTCTTATGTAAGAGATCAGAACTGGCAAAAGAGAATTAGAAATGAAACTCCCTTCCCTACCCAGCCTATTTTGTAACTGATTCTCTTGACAGACCCAGCCAACGCCCTCACGCTAACAATGCGCTCTCTCATAAATGTTGCCATCATCTGGTGAGAGGTGCAAGACTGTCCCACGCCTACAGTTGGCTGAAGACAACCATGCTACCTTAGGATTGTTTCTCAGGGGTGGGCTTGCCCTGGGCAGCAGTTTATGGAGGAGCAGGCAGAAGCAAGCTGCCAAAATGCTCCCAATCTGTGGTGTCCATTGTCTGCAGTTCTGTAGGCAGCAAAACAGAAACCTGTCTTGTAGGGAGCCTGCTGCTTGGCCAAGTTTGGGAGATGGCAGGGAAAGCTTGTGGGAGAAACTGGGTCCAGTCCTGCAAGGAGCAATTATCAGCAGGCTGATTTGGCCTGAGGATCACCGCCACAGAGTATTTGCACACTGTAAATCAACTGCCAGCACTGGGCAGAGCTGACAGCCTTTGGAAATGCTCCAATGGTGTCAGAGCACTGACTGCACCGAGCACGCCCTACTACAGATAGTAACAGGGCCGCAGCCACAGTTCCAGGCAACCCTGAAAACTTCGCAGCCAGAATGGGCCCACACAGTCCCTGCCCAGGATTCTCCTCCCTGTGTGTGGGAAGCGGCACTTGTACAAAAAGCTCCAGCCCACATGCAAACAGTGTGAAGCAACCTGGGGCCACGGGGCAGATGATTGCCCTCACGGCGTGCAGACAGGTCTCCCGCTGTTGGCAGGGCTGGCTCTCCCGCGTCGGCCTCGCTTGGCAGCCCCTGCAGATCCCTGGGGTGCCCACATCTCGCAGCCTCGCTTCCACAGCAACCTCCATCCGCTTTTCCCCAGCCACCCGCAGCCTCTTCGATGAGCCGCTGGGCATCGCCGTGCAGGGCCTCAGCCCGCGGCAGCAGGTCACCCTGCGGGCGTCCCTGCGGGACGAGGCGGGCGAGCTCTTCGAGGCCCACGCCCGGTACCAGGCGGCGGAGGACGGGGAGCTGGACGTGGCCCGCTGCCCCGCGCTGCCGGGAGGCAGCTTCAGCGGCCTGGAGCCCATGGGGCTGCTGTGGGCGCTGCAGCCCCGCAAGGCCTTCTGGCGGCTGGTGAAGAAGGACGTGCAGACCCCTTTCCTGCTGCGGCTGGAGGTGCTGGAGGGCCACGGGGATGACTCCGGGCGGCTCCTGGCCCAGGCCCAGCACGAGCGGGCGTTCCTGCGCGACGGGGTGCGCAGGGTGCCGGTGCGGGACGGGAGGATCCGGGCAACGCTCTTCCTGCCCCCCGGTGAGTACCAGCTGTAGCCATCCTTTTTTTGCTAAAAGTATTGTGCTTGTCAGGGCAAGCTATTTCATGACCTACATAAAGAGGAGCCCATGAAAGCTCCATCCGTCTTTTCCTCCCTACCATCCCACTGACCCATTTGACTATCATTTACATTCACCCAGCCTGAATGCTTGAATGCTAGAACAAGGTTACAGAAACAGGCAAAGAAATTATTCTTTCTGAGAGCCAGAGGGTATAAATGTGGAGGAACACACAACAAGCAATGAGTGTGCCAGTAGGCCTCTGGAGCTGAGAGGCTGAGATAAAGAGTTGTGCAGAGAGACTATATGCCAGTCCTGTCTTGTTGCCCAGAGCTGGCTCCACATGAAAAGCCAGGGAGTCCTCCTCCTGGAGGGCTTGGAGTATGCTCCCTCTTCCCATGGCACTATATGATGATCATGGTTCACTGTGTTTGAGTTCCTTTGTTGGGACCCATGGCCTATGGACAACTCAATTATGTGAAAGGTGAAAGATGAGGGACTCCAGAACTTTCATGGAGAAGAAATCTTTCCAGCAGAAAAAGACCAACACTGAACAGCTTTAGTAAAGGATTTCCTTTTGGAGGTGTATGACTTGCTCAAGACACCACCAAGTTTCAATATGTGCTTGGCTGCTAAACAGAGATCTCCTTGCCAGAGTCCAGGGTGTGCTGACTTCTCATCCTCAGCATCCCCCTTGGCAGTGAGGCCAGGGCTCCTTCCCCTGCCTGCTGACCAGGAGATGAAGAAAGCTGCTTGCATACATTTGGTTTCCAAACTTTCCTGCTTCCCTTCACTCATGCTGCTTTACAGTAAGCTGGCTCATTTTCTCAGTGTCCCCAGGCTCCTTTAAACAGCGTGTGTTTTAAAATTATAAATCTTTGCCAGTTCCTGTCTCTTTTTTGCATAGAAGGATTTTCCTAGGCATAGAATAGAAGGATTTTATTTTCATCCTGCAGCCATTTAGGAGTTGGATACCACTTAGCAAACAACCTAAAGCCTGAAAGTGGAGAGTCCAAATGGCTTTTGCTACAGTGCTGTCCCACCTCCCTTGAGAATCCCCACAGACTTACCCAGTATTAGGACGTTTTCTGTGTATGTTTAGTGTAAGCCCACAGTGTTGTGCTACACTCAGCTGAGCCTTGGGTCACAGGCAACTGCAGTCCTGCTGTCTGCGGTACCCGGCCACTGCTTTGAATGCTCACAGTCTATGTAAAGCCAGTAGATGTGCTGTCACCTGCATGCAAACAGCAGAGAAAGAGCAATGGGAGAGGTCTTTTTAGCAGCCAACATCAAATTGCTGAGTGACTTGTCATGTCCTTTCCCCCAAAAATAGTCTTCTGCAGTTCCTGTTGTGCATCTGGTTTTATGTGTTCTAAATCAGAGAAACATTAAAAGGACTAATATCATGTGATACTGCTCTTGTCTGCTGCAGGACAAGCCCCCTTTCCAGGAGTCATAACCATAGATGGACTTGGAGGAGGCCTTTGTGAGCACAGAGCCAGCCTGCTGGCCAATCATGGCTTTGCCACACTGGCCCTGGCTTATTATCAATATGAGGATCTGGTTCAGAAGCCAACCAAACTCCATCTGGAATATTTTGAAGAGGCATTGAACTACATGCTGCAGCACACACAGGTAGTAGCATACTCCCTGCCCTCTGGGATTCAGAGAATGCTTCTTCTCTGGAGTGCCTATCCCTTCGTCAGAGTTATCACTGGGGGAAGCTGCTGGATGCTTGCGCAACCCCATGGCTGGCATCTGCAGGGTATCTAAGCTCTAGAAAAGAGGAAGGACTAAACAGATATGAACTGGAAGGTGGTGGAAAGAGATAAATCACGCTCAAAAGAGACAGCTGAGACATAACAAAGTAGAAAGGTTCAAGTAGGAGAGCCTTCATGAATCACCACCATTCTTCCCTTCTCCTTTGGGGCAGGTGTTTAGCACTTGTCCAGCAGAAAAACTAATCATTGCCATTCCCTGTGCTGTTGTGTAAACTCTCAACATTACACAACATCCCCTTCCAGTAATTAGCTGTTGTGTTTTTCAGCTCATACTGATGGGGCTTTCCTCCTATCCACCAGGTAAAGGGACCAGGGATCGGCCTGCTCGGTTACTCCAAAGGAGGTGATCTGTCTCTCGCCATGGCTGCCTTCCTGAAGAATATCACAGCAGTAGCTTCCATTAATGGCCCTGTGGCCATTACAGCTTTTCCTCTCTGCTACAAAGATAAAACTATTCCCGCTTTGATTTATAAGGAAAACCTTACCAAGGTTTATGATAACAATATCCTTGATTATTCTGATGTTCTTGATGACCCCTTTAAAGCCCCTGGCAACCAAAGCCTGATCCCAATAGAGAATGCTGAGGCACATTTACTATTAATTGCTGGACAAGATGATCATATTATCCACAGTAAGTATTATGTCACTGAAGCCTCCAAATATTTGCAGGCTCAGGGGAAGGAAAATGTTCAGACACTCATTTATCCTGGAGTAGGGCACTGCATTGACCCTCCCTTTTCCCCTTTTTACCCAATAGGAAAACATCCAGTTTTTCACAAACGAGCTGTCCTGGGTGGAGAGCTCACAGCTTACTCTAAGGCACAGGTTCATGCTTGGCTACAGATACGGGCTTTTTTCCACAAACATTTAAATGACAAGTGATGCATGTACAAGAAACGCACAACTTTGAACAAACATCTGATGAATTATTTTACAGTTATCAGGTCAATTCCCTTTCCCAGCTGTACCAATACAGCTACAGTGTCTTCAGTGACTTTGCACAACCATAACTCAGAAAAAAATTGGTTTTCATTTTGTATTACATTTTTGGTCAAGTGTCAAGAAAAGGAAGGGAGAATAGGTGATAGGAAAAATATTCAGTTATTTTTCTCATCTGTTTTCTATTTTTATATTTGACTGTGCTTTTCACATTACTGTGGCCTCCACATGCATATGCTATCCACGACTCATACTTCAAAGCCAGACCTTTCAAACACTAATTTTGGTGCATGGACTTCACTATTGTTATGGTAAAAAATCATAAATGAAAATGTTTCTGAACTCCAAGATGCTGGAAGTGTGCAATAATGGATGTTATGGTGAGGATGTCATGGTCTCTCTGGTTAGCCTTCTGGAAGGGTTATTTGTCTTCTATTTCCATCTCCCCTTCAGTAGAAAGTGCTCTGCTTCATGTATACTTCCAGCTCTAACATGTCATGCAAAAAGCCAAATTTACAATCATTGTGATCGTCTCCCATAAAATGTGGAAACTTTGCAGCTTTGTTATTAGAGCTGGTTGAGGTCAGACTAATGAGGGAACGGAACTAGAGCAGCTCATACAGGAACCAAAGGCATGAAGGGACCCTTCCGCCGAGTCATGAGACTCAGAGTGCATTCTATACTCCTTTTGGTGGCCTACGTGCAGCTAGATCCAGTCTTAGTCTCAGTCTTGGTCAGTGGTTCACATCTTAACAGAGTTTCTCCCATCCACAACTAACGAGATAGTCACAAACAATTACAGACAAATTAAAATTAACTCTCCAAACAATTAAGACTTTACATTTACCCCAATAAACAAGATCTTCCTACAAATTTATCAGTTTCAATTAAATTTACTTTATCGTTTTTTCAGGTTCTGGACTGACTTGTATTTAAAGTCAAAGTGGTAATGTCAGAGTACAGCAAAGAGCCTGCAAACAATCCTCACTGATATCCCAATAGGGAGTGCTTTTTCAAGTGCTTTACCATTTTTTAGGGCTGCACTTGGGATCCTCAGGAGCCAGGCTGTAATTCTTTCAAGCTATAGCACAAAATGAGCCATTTGAGTCATGGCACCGTGACTGCCAGAAGATGTGGAGACTCCAAGTGTGTAATAGCCCAAATACAAATTAAGATGGATCAGAAGAAGCCTTATTGACTACAGTCACATAAGAAAACACTGGGGCAGCATCAGCTCCTCTGCTCCCCTCTTCTGTCAGATGTCTGCAGAGACCTCTCTTAAGTACTGTTTCCAATAAAGGAAAGAGGTGAGGAAAATCCTTCTAATGTTAGCGAAGTTAGTTGTCTATATTCTTGGGAAAAACAAATTCTATACAACTATGAATACGTCTGAAAGGCCAAATCCCTCCATGCCTAGCAGGGATGCAGTCCTTTAGGAGCTTGTTAGCTGACAAAACAGAGAGGGCTCTTTGATAGTCCTGTAGGAGAGGCACACTGGTATTAGCTTAGTTCACAACTGGAGGTAGCAGTGGGCGTTGGAAATGATCACAGACTGCTAGCTTTTGTTTGGATAAAATTCTCAGCCATTCCTTTCAAATGTTACGTATCAGTAACTTTATCACTGTACTCAACTGCTCTAGATCTGTTGCCAAATTAGTCTGACCTCAACTAGAACCTCAACTAGATCAAGAAGAGTGTGACTTTAGCAGACCCCTACTGTGTGTGTCTCCTTCCTTGGCTCATAGCCACTGTACAAGCCATATCATTGTGAATAAAATGAGAGCAGACACTCAAGCCTCAGGTGGGAGATTAAATGCATTGGTCTTAGTGGGACTGAAATGCAGGCTGAGACCCTGGGAGGGCTGTCATCTCAATTAGTGTGATTAAAATTTGGGCTGAGATTTGAACAGCAAATCAACATCTTTATACAAAAATAAGTCTTACAAGTAAATAGAAGGTACATTTAAAATTACAGGCTGACAAAAGTCATTTTGGTGAGGATAATACACAGGCTGGGATACCCTGAAATTTGACCTTATGGGATGTGTGTGTGTGAAACTGAGTACAGGTGGGCACTGGACTGTCCAAAATGAGGGAGGTTGCCCTTAATGGTGGCCCAGCCCAATACAAAGATTACTCTCAAAGTTACTCAAAGTAAATTGGCAATGTTGTTGGTCTTTTTGTTTGTTTTGTTTTCATAATGAAACAGCTATATCTGGGATGATCTTCCTCAACAGTTTCCCTTTGAGACTTTCAAATTTGATAAAATATGGGAGGAAAAAAAAAACAGGAAAAAAAAAAGAAAGCAAGGTAGCACACACTTATTGTGATGCTTTTTTTAGTTGATAAGGTGATGCAGCTGAACAGTGCACTAAATCACTCAGAGTCTAGAAAACTCCCAGGAAAAGCTAAGACAATAAAAATTTAAAAGCAAAATTGCTTGATCAACTAACAAAACCATCTCAACATCAATATATTTCTGTCACACATACTGCTGCTCCTGTACAGCTAGATGTTGTGGATGGCCTTATCATCCACTTATTATGTTGTGGATGACCTTTAATACCCTAAATCTTTAGGTTATTTTTCTCATCTAGCCCTCCTCATACCTTCCAGATAACCTGGATGAACAGGGGAGGAAATCAAGTCCACTACTAGCTCTACAAACGAACCCTATTTAAATTTCCCTGTTGCAGAGGAAATTGTAACTTGTCTCCTTGGTACCAGGACTTCTTGCTCCACTTCACATGCCTCTGACTTTCTGCACATTGTCTTGTCTTCTGAAGGTGTGGGTATTGCAGGATAATCCATCCCACCTCCTGTTACAACTTCCCTATGTTTCTCTTGGACCTATTTCTGCTTTTCTGTTTTTCTTTTAAGCCCTACTGCTCCAATTCACTCGTCAAGCAAAGATTTATCATTCAAACTAGGATGTGCCATTATCATTACCTCAACTGAACATTTATTGATGTTCCACCAGTGCATCAGGAAGAATTCATCTCTCTACTCTATGTCTGGAAGTATGAATCTGCATAGACACCTATCTCTCCAGACCCCTCTTCTCTTCAGTACATCTTAGTGCAAATATCTTCCCAGATTTGTCTTCTCACACTAACGAAGCACATCGCATGCTAAGTGATGAACCTCATACTCAAATTGGGAAATGCCTCTCCCGTGTGTTCCTCATCATCCTATCTCAAAGAAAGCTGAGGAAGGTATCTACTGGTAACTGATTCCCTATTGCAGCCCCTATGGATGGTAAATATTGTGACCATCTTTTATTGAACAGCTCCTTTATCCAATGGCCTGATGTCCAGAATGTACCCTTGCTCAATCCAGATCTTATCCTTTCTGTAGATGGCTCTTGCCTCCGTGACTCAACTGGAAAACTTGCTTCCAGCTATGCTGTCTGTGATGCATGATATATTGCAGGATATTTCCTCTGTTCCTTCTTACAAACTGCTAAACTTGTTGTTCTTATCTGTGCCTGTGTTATGGCACAGAGCCAATCTGCAGCTATGTACACCAACTCTTGCCTTGTTTGATTGCATATGATTTTGTCAGCTTTGAAAACAACATGGTTTTCTTACATCAGCAGGTTCCCATGTGAAGGGTAGTTGTTATGTGGATGTTCTTTTACAAGCCTTTCTACTATCTTCTTTAGCTATTGTTAAATGTCAGTCTGCCATAACTCTATTCCAGCCATTCCATTTGGCTGGAATAGAGTTAATTTTCTTTATAGTAGCTGGTACCATGCTGTGTGTCTGTCATGGTTTTGCGATTTTTGGTTATCGGTATTCCACATCATAACATCATGTAGTACACTGGGAGTTGGGAGGGAAGATTCAGGTTAGATGTCAGGGGGAAGTTCTTTGCAGAGAGAGTGGTGAGGTGCTGCATCAGGCTGCCCAGAGAGGTTGTGGATGCCCTGTCCCTGGAGGTGTTCAAGGCCAGGTTGGATGGGGCCCTGGGTAGCCTGGTCTAGTATTAAATGGGGAGGTTGTAATGCTCAAGTTCCGGGCACCTGGCCGGAAGAGAAGAGCTACATACCCAGGGGGCTTTGTGGTCAGAGAAGAGATATAACTCCTGGCAAGGGGTGCTCTTCTTCATCTTCCTGCTGCTGAACCAGACTGCACATCTCACCTCAGCGTTATGGTGAGGCCTATCCACCTTTCGGACACTCTCATATTTGATTTATTGGCTTCAATTCTAATTATATTGTATTATAGTGTGTTATCTTGCATTCTGATACTATATTTAGTAAATTAGTTTGTTTCTCCTCAGATCATTGCCACTCTTTTAATTGCTTTGGGGTCTCCTGTTTCCCTTTTCCGGAGGTGCAGATTTTGTGAAATCCCTTCACCCTGCTAGTCACAGAACTGGGCCTGGATTTAGGAGGAAAATAGTGTTGACAGCACACTTATGTTTTAATTGTTGCTGAGCACTGCTTCCTCTAAATCAAAGATGTTTTGGCTTCTCAAGCTACCTTGCCAGTGTAGAGCATGGATGTGCAGTTGTTGTTTTCTTTCCCTCTTTTTTTTTCTTTGTTATTAAACTATCCTTATCTCAGCCCATGAGATTTCACAATTCTCTTTAAGCTATGGGGGAAGGGAGAAAGCAAATGGCTGTGTTGTGCTGAGCTGCCTGCCAGATTAAACCATATCAGCTTTTTCAAGAAAGGACCCAAAATAAGGACTTTCTGTTGCACACATTGCGTCAGAACCAGAGACACTGTCTACTCCTTGAGGCAGCTGAATAATGTGATGATTATTTGACAGGTATAGGCCAGACGCCAGCACTGTGTGGTGAGCTGTAACTCTGACACTGCCACAGTCAGGATGTACCCTTTTCAAACATTTTTGTCAGCTTTCTTGGATTCCATAGTTCTTTGGAGATGAATTCTAAAACCATCAGAGGTGGCAACTGCGACAGGTAGCTACATCCCATACACCTATATCCTCCCATACACCTTGCTACCTGTAACCATCCTGCATCGTCGCAGATTTCTGGGTAGTATTTTTAAATAGTTATTTAACCTTAGACAAAACCAAAAACATATGCAAGAGACAATGTAATAGGATCAGTCTGCTGTGGTTTAACCCAGCAGGCAGCTAAGCAACACACAGCTGGTCACTCACTCTCTCCATGCACAGTAGGATGGAGAAAGAACTTGTGGGTTGAGATAAGGACAGCTTAATAATAAAGAAAGAAAAATGGAAAATAAGAAATATTGACATGAAAAATACCACAAAAGATGTGACATACAATGCAATTGCTTACCACCCACCAACGGAAGGCCAGCTAGTACCCGAGCAATGGCAACTAACTCACCCAGTTTTATTGTTGAGCACAATGTCATACAGTATGGGACATCCCTCTGCCCAATTTCGGTGTCCTAGCCGTGACCCCTGCCAGCTCCAAACTTTTCTGTAAAGCACAGCAGTACTGCTGTCCATACTATACCTGTCCATAACAGTTGCCTAGTCCATAACACAGGCCAGTACACAAAACCAACACTTGCAGCACATCCCAAACATCAGACAGAAGTATATTTTGAACACAGCAGATACACATCCTACAGATGGTTAAACACTGTAATTCAGAGTACGTGTTTGCAGTCCTTTATGAGTACTCAGGGTTGCAAACATACTGATGCCGCTACTATGGCCAAGAAACTTTTAAGAGACTTGATACTTTGATTTGACATTTCTTTGCTATAGATAGTAATCAAGGTGCTATTTTGACAAACCAAATGATTAAAAATATTTGCACAGCTTTAAACATTAAGCAACACCTGTGTTATGCCTCAGCCCAGCAGTGCAGAAGGAAGAATCTCTGACCTGAGAAGTGAATTGGCCAAGGTATGAAACAGGACTGAAGCAGCCAGAAGCACTGCTGCTCACATGTATGCAAAGCACGGTAAACAGGACGCACAGCCCGTCACCTCAGGAGATTCTTAAAGGATGGCCGACGTGCCTTCCTCATTCACCACCTGAAGAACAGCATGAACTTGGCCTGTGATTACCAGGCGTTTTAACATTAAATTATTGCAGATCCCTAAAAAACGTGGGATATCTGTCTATCCTCAGGTGAAGGAAGAAGCTCTCTTAGTGCCCTCCTTCGGACCGTGCCACGCTCTGCAGCTGGAAGACGGGCTTTAAACGAGGCGCGCCATCGACAAGTACCTCGGGTCCGAGGGGAGGGGAGGAACACACGCATCCTGGGCGGTTCCCATCCAACCGCCCCTTCCAACGCCCCGGCAAGGAGGCGGGGGCAGGCAGTGGGACAGCGCGGCCCGCTGGAGCGGCCGTCAACAGGAAGCGCCGTGAGCCAGACGTGAGAGCCCTGCACTTTGTGCCGAGCGTTTGAGAGGCTTTAAAGCCACAAGGGGCGGAGCGCGGCAGTATAATTATAAGTATTTAATATTGCGGACCCACCCACCGCTCCGGTGCGGGCCGCCCTCCGGATCCCGCCCGCGGAAGCGGACGCGCCGCGGGGCCGTGGGGCAAATGAGCGCCTTCGGTGCGTGCCGAGCGGGCTCCCGCTGCTGGCAGGGCTGGCCCTCCCGCGTCGGCCCCGCTTCGCCGCACCGCAGCCTCCTGCGAGTACCAGGGGCGTCCCCGGCCCGCCGGATCTCCTCCATGGCCGCCACCATCCGCTTCTCCCCAGCCACCCGCAGCCTCTTCGATGAGCCGCTGGGCATCGCCGTGCAGGGCCTCAGCCCGCGGCAGCAGGTCACCCTGCGGGCGTCCCTGCGGGACGAGGCGGGCGAGCTCTTCGAGGCCCACGCCCGGTACCAGGCGGCGGAGGACGGGGAGCTGGACGTGGCCCGCTGCCCCGCGCTGCCGGGAGGCAGCTTCAGCGGCCTGGAGCCCATGGGGCTGCTGTGGGCGCTGCAGCCCCGCAAGGCCTTCTGGCGGCTGGTGAAGAAGGACGTGCAGACCCCTTTCCTGCTGCGGCTGGAGGTGCTGGAGGGCCACGGGGATGACTCCGGGCGGCTCCTGGCCCAGGCCCAGCACGAGCGGGCGTTCCTGCGCGACGGGGTGCGCAGGGTGCCGGTGCGGGACGGGAGGATCCGGGCAACGCTCTTCCTGCCCCCCGGTGAGTACCGGCACGGCCCCGTCCGTCCTCCGCGGTGCCGCCTCATCTGGCGGTGTCTCCCCGAGAGGCCCCTGGGCGCGGTGCCGGGCGCAGCGCAGATTTAGGCCTCCCTGGCCAACGCAACGGATCGGCACAACCAACTTTCACCTGCTTGCCACGCTCCTCCTCGTGTACCTTAGCTACGAGGTTCCTCTCCAAAAGTCCTAAGTCCTGACTGTGTTGGTTCCTTTCCTGGCCTTTCTCCAGATCCCCAGCTTGGTCATTTCAGAGTTGCTGCAGCCCAAGCTTCTTTTGGTGACAAATTTGCCCTGTTTCTCTCCGTTTGTGAGTAGAAAGTCAAGCAGACCATTAGACACATTCACGATTATGGCATTTCTGTCGTAGTTCTGATTGCCTTACAAATCCTGTGTTGTCCTCCCGGCAGCTGCCCAGGCTTATGCTATGCAGTTCTCTGTAGGAAGCCTCTTCCCATTTCTCATCTTTATCTGGTGCTCATTTACAGCTGTCACCAACACCACCACATTCACAGCTTTAATTCTCCCTGTGACCCAGAGGCTCACCAGGCATGTTTCTGTTTTTGTGCTGGAACCCTATGTGGTCAAGGAGCATCTCTACATAGTATATGCCTTGCTTTCCCCTCCCCTGCCTTTTTCCCTTGCCTGTCCCTGGTATCTTCTCAACTGTAGCACTGCAGTCGTACATGTCCTAGCCAGCACCTTCTTTCATACTCCCTGTGGCTGGTGGTGAGTTTCCAGTTGTTGTCCAAGTTCTGCACACTCACGTGTGGAAGCAGAGATGGAAGTCTTCCTTGTATCCTCCCTTCCATAGTCTTCATCAGTTTCCTGCAATCCCTCTCAGCCTCTCTCATGAGAGTGGCAAGGCTGGTTGCAAATATTTTCTTCCCTTAGTGCCAGAATAAACAGGCTGTAGTGCATTTACACTGAAACTAAGAAGCTGGAACCATGGCATATGGGATTTTGGGGTCAGTTTTTTGAGAAATGCAGTGGGGAAAAGACTCCTGGGTATTTTTGGAGCAGAATTTATGTTTGCAGTGAGTTTACATGATACAGACAGCTAGCTGTGACTTATCATCCCTTCCCTGTCAGTCATGTGTTTCCTGATGTTCACTAAAACATTGGCAAGGCAACTGTTTTGTACCTTTGTTTAATGTTTAATCTTGAAGCAGTGCAGCCCTTTACTGAAACGTGGCACAGAATTTGAGATGCTTACTACCATTGTGTGCTTTTGTGTGTGTGTTTTTTGTTTTTGGTTGGTTGGTTTTTTTTGAAGGCACATTTCCAGGCCTATGAATTTGGGATATAAATGAGAAATGATGGGTCAAGGTGTCCCATTTTGTTATCTCTTTCAGGAAACGGTCCCTTTCCAGGAGTTATTGACTTGTATGGCGCTGGAGGAGGACTCCCTGAATACAGGGCATGCCTGCTGGCCAACTATGGCTTTGCTGTGCTGGCACTGGCTTTCTATGGCTATGAAGATCTCCCCAAAGAGATGAAGGAGATCAACCTGGAATATTTTGAAGAAGCTGTTAACTATATGTTACAACACAACCAGGTTGGTATAGACACTGACACAGCCTCACTACAGGGAACTGTCATTAGTCAGCTCCTATCAGCCTGCAAGTGGGGCAAAGCTGTTGTATTTAGAATAGCATCTCTGTTCAAGTCAACTAAAAATAATTCCTTTCATATCTAACTCCTATTACAGTGGCTCTCTACCAGATAATTCCAGTTCTTCCTTTTGTACTGGCCAGGTGACATGGTGACATGGAGTCACATACTAGTTATTTCTGCTTTGTTCAACCCAGTGTCCTAACAAGGGAACTAGTTGCCTTGAGGCACATCAGACTTCCATTGGGACTTTTAAGTTTACATTCCATAGAATGTTCTTGAGGACTAAATGTCTTTTTTAACCTTGGAGCACGTGATATGCTTCTGTGATCTGGGGCTCAAGGAAGTCTATAAATACACATTTGTTGCAGCATATTGTAGTAAGCTGTTACAGTCACTCCAAACATTGGTATGTGGTGCATGTGGTTTTTGGTAGCTGGCTGCAAACTCAGCTGAATTCCTAAGCTGGCACCTCCTGGAAGAGAGCCCTGCTTAGCTCTGCATCTTCTTCCAAGTAGCTGCACATGACAATAGCTAGAATTCCACATGGCAATGTCTGGCCTCTCTGAAGAGCTCAAAATAAATACCTTCCTCAGAAAGGTGAGTAAAGGCCTTGGTGGCTGTTCTGTTGCAATAACCCTAACTGCTTATGCCAGCCCTATGCCCCAAAACTTGCACTTTTTTCTTTTTCTTCTCTCCCCTGAGAAAAGTATTGTAGACTCTTGTTAATGCCTTCACTGATGCCTCTCCCATGACATATTTTTAACACTTGGCAAAATTTTAGCCATGTTTACAAATTTCCCCCTTCAAGCAAGTCTGTGCTTCAGACTTGGTAGGTGCAGAGCTTCTCATGCTGGTGACAAGGTACAAAAGATACTAAATTTCAGCATTTTCTCAGAGCCTTTTTAGCCCTGGGGGTCTTGGAATGTAGGAGCTATTGTGACATTGACACCCTGAATTTCAGCACCCTGTAAGATCACTTAGCTTTCCTATTATAGTTTGTTTGTATAAAAGAAAATGAAGTTAACCTGTACGAGGCCTTGTAGTTCTGTTAGGATGCTGCTGCAGTCTCAGCAGGGCTTCTGGTCATAAACCAAGCACAGAACAGTGCTGCAGGGTTCCTTGTACGCAGGACTTTAGATGCCTGTACCTGCAGTGCAGATCAGGACAGGCTGTGCTGACACGGCAGCACTTTCAAGAAATGGTTTGCATATTTCATTGATGATGATTTCTGTTTCTTTACCCTTCAGGTTAAAGGTCCCGGGATTGGGTTGCTCGGTTTCTCCAAGGGGGGTGACTTATGCATTTCAATGGCCTCCTTCCTGAAGGGCATCACGGCCACCGCTGTGATCAATGGCTCTGTGGCGAACGTGGGCGCAGTGGTCCGCTACAAGGATGTCACCATTCCGCCCCTCGGTGTCAACCCAAAACGTATCAAGGTCAGCAAGTCTGGGATCGGTGATATCATCGATGCCCTTAACAATCCGTTAGAAGGGGCTGACCGCCAAAGCTTTATCCCTTTGGAGAAAGCCGAGTGTCGCTTCTTGTTCATTGTTGGCCAGGATGATCACAACTGGAAAAGCGAATTCTTTGCAACTGAGGGGAGCAAACGTTTGCAGGCTCATGGGAAGGAAAAGCCTGAGATAATCTGTTATCCTGGGGCAGGGCATTATATTGAACCCCCTTTTTTCCCAATGTGTGCTGCCTCAATGCACCTGCTGGTTGGCATGCCTGTAATATGGGGTGGGGAGCCCAAGGCGCACTGTGAGGCACAGATAGATGCCTGGCAGCAGATCCAGGCCTTCTTCCACAGACACCTTAAGGGTGAGCGTTCCAGGACAGCCAATAAGCTATGACGTGATTTGGGTTACTATACAGAGGAAGATGCTAGTGTTCCACGTTTTTTCACATTCTGCGTTTCACAGTTGTTTTGTTAAATGGTTCTGAATGAGAGCAAAGAACATCAGAGAATAAACAGTTGATTTTTTTTTTTTTCCTGAGCAGATGATGGCTGAGAGCTGCATCCTTTTCACACCTTTCTCTAACACCCAGTGATATCTTGGCTTCCCGTTGTATAGTATGGGAAGGATGTGGAAATGTGATGATGGCAAGGCTGGGTCTGTTTTGAATGCAAGTTTAAGTGGAAAGTAAATCAGCTGAGAAGTGGGATGAGTGGGACTTACCTTGTAATATGTCTTCCATAGAGGAAGTGTGTTGGATGCTGCTGTCCCTACTGGAGACGGAGCACTTTTTTTTTTTTTTTTTGTCTGAAAGCAGCTGTTCTCTCTATCTACATCCAGTAATCCTATGTCACTGAGTTGTACGTCTGCCTTAACTCTGTCCATTTTTGAGATCTAGCGTAGAGCGTGCCTCCAGGGAGAGATGACAACAGCCCACAGCCCCAAAGTGCATTTTGGACACACACGGTAGAACTGAGAAGGTAGGCTTCCCCTCTGGCTCTCTCGGAGGAGTGGGGAGCAGTGGGGTTCTGTTTGGAGATGCTGAGCAGTTTTTGGCTCCCAAGCACGCACTTGAAAGAGAAAAGAACGTTCGGTGCTAGGGAGGTGCTGGTGACTCTTCGCGGTTACTTGAAAACCCCTTCAGTGCCTTACAAGGGCAGGCTGAGCGCACGCGGCTAGCTGGCTGTATCCAGCGTTCCACTTGCACGTCCGTTCCACGGGTTATTATCGGTGCACCTTGCACTCCGCGCTTTTCTGCTTCATTAAAGTGAAACGTTAACTGGAGCAGAGGTTGGTTTGTGCACCCGGACGGGACGCAGCGGGCGGGCAGCGCTCCGGAGCCGCTCCGCCGCCCACCCGCAACCCGGCTCCCAGCGGAGCGGGGCCGGACGGGCGGGACGCTGCGTGGGGGCGGGCGGTGAGCGGGGCCTCCCCGGGCCGCCGGCGCCGCAGGAACGCCCGCCGGGCGGGAGGGCTCCGCTCTCGATTGAGGCTGCCTGGCGGGGGCGGCCGCTATCGCCGTCGTCGCCGTCCGCTCTGCGGCTCTCGGCCCCGCGCCGCCGTCATGTGGAGAGCGGCGGTCGCCGCCAAGGCCCCCGCGCGGGCGCTGTGCCGCGCCCCGGCGCGCGGGGCGGTCAGCGTGGCCGTGACCCCCCCAGCCGGGCTGGCGGACGAGCGGGTGGACACGCGGGTGGCGGGGCTGGGCCCGGGGCAGCCGGTGACGCTGCGGGCGGTGGTGTCCGACGAGCGGGGCTGCCTCTTCCAGTCGTGCGCGCACTACCGGGCGGACGGCCGCGGCGAGCTGCACCTGGGCACGGACGCCTCGCACGGCGGGGACTACACCGGCGTGGAGCCCATGGGGCTCTTCTGGAGCCTGGCGCCCGCGGGCATGGAGAGGCCGTACCAGCGGCTCGTTCCCCGCAGCACCGGCACCCCGATGAAGGTGGAGATGTTGGTTCACCGGGGTCACAGCCGGCCCGGCGCCATCCACGGGCCGGTGATGGCCAAGGCCGAGGTGGAGAGGTGGTTCACGGCCCCCGGCGTCAGGAGGATCCGGCTGAAGGAGGGCGGCGTGAGGGGCTCCCTCTTCCTGCCGCCGGGTGAGTGGGGCCCGGCCTCTGCCCGGAGCGGGGGTCAGCCGGGGCGGCCGTGTTCCGAAGCAAGAACCGAAGGCCGCCCGAGGACGGTCGCCTCTCGGGGCGTCTTTGGTCTCCTGGGGACGCTGCTCCGTGCTGGTCAGCGGCACAGGCGCGGGCAGGTGCCTCTGGCCTGGGAGGAAGCTAAGCGAGACAAAGGCTTGTAGTTTTCCACGCCGCTGCTCTCGGGTTGGGAGTTTCTGTAGGTTGTGTTTTTTTTCCCTGAACTAGCAGAACCCGTAACGCTCAGGAAAGGTGATGGGCTTTGACCGTGTGAGTCTCCGGGCAGGATTTTATCCTGAGGATTAAGTTTAAAAGGCATTTTTTCTCCCTGCAAAGCATATGCTGATAAGCAGAGCCGCAGAGGAGACTCTGTAATAAAGTATTACAGTTCTGTTATGCCAGAGCTAACTAAGCTACTACTTCTTGCTAGGCTGCTAGTTTAGCAAGTTCTGTTGTACTGTGTATGAATACAAATAGTTATCTGAAGAAGCTCTGCCTGTTCTCCCCGTGCGATGGCTGTGTTCTATGAGGTGTGACATTCCGATGGGCTGCTGCTGTTGCTGGAAGTTGAAACCTTACACTGCTGGCGGTGTTGGAATGCCTCAGGCATGATTTAAACTTCTGTGTTCCACTGGCTGTTGTACTGCGAGAACTGCCATCTGCATTGCCTCTGTAATTGCTTGGTTCTGCAAATCCTATAAGCGCTGCTACAATTATCAGGGATTAAAATCTTGGTGAATGATTTCCAAACCAATTATCTTTATTAACCATTTAGGTACGGATCCAAAGTCTGCTAAAGAAGGAAAAAAAAAAACCAACATAGATTGGACTTTGAATTTTGGATCAAATGTTTAGTCAGCATTCTGAAATATCTAACACTGAGATGTGGCTGATACATCCTGCCTTAGAGAATGAGCCGAATTTCTGCTGAGCTCAGTGGAAATCCAGAGATCTGCAATCTGGAACTGTATTTTTCCCTTCAGAAAGCCTGGTGTTGTAATATTACAGAAAAGTATGAGATCATTGCTTAAATGATGCTGGCACCCTTTTAAATAAAGGATCCAGTTACAACATTACCACCATATCTTTCTTTGCTTCAGGGATTGTTGAGAAAGGAACCTTAAAGGTCAACCATCCTTGGTAAAAGTGAGATTACGTAAACGGGTTTATGCTGCAATTATGATATGAAAGATATTTCTAATTTCAGTTATAAAGTTACAGGCTGTAATCTTTTTAAGTAGTAATAAAGTTGTCTAGAAAGTTATCCTGCTTTTTCATGAACTGTGGAGAAACTACACTTGGGCTTTGCAGGCATTCAGGAAGGCAGTTGGGTGTCCTTGTCTAAGTTGAAGGTTATCTTCATGAAAGAGAGAAACGCAGTCCTTCTTGACTGTGTCCTGGTCATACATTCTCACTAGAATGTGTAGGGGTGAGAAATAAAAGAATGCTACTGTTTTTCCTCTCATACAGAATATTGAACTTTAATGAGAAGTTTCAGAACTGACAAAGAACCCAAAAGCATGTTTAAGCACTTTTCTAACTTCTTTTGGGTTTTGTTAGGAGGTTTCTACCATCTAACATGTCTTGCCCAAAACTTCTTTTTTCAAGCACCTTGAAATATCGGAGGTCTTTGTAGCATATAAATAATGACAGAGGCTTAATGCACTCTTGCACAAATGGGTACTTTTTCTACTGAGAGCTGTGATCTGGGTCTGAATCTGTCAGTGGTGACATCTGGTGGCAAGGCACCACACCTCCCCAGAATAAACAAACAAACAAAATACCTGGGCTCTTTATGGTTGCAAGAGCCTTTAACACAAAATCTGCTAGCATAACAGAAATATAACAACACAACCTTCACTGCAAAATCACGGTTGCTTGAAGTTGTGGTTCTGAAAATCCCTGTAGTTTTACAGGACAAGCACATATATGCATGTTTATCTGTACATCAGTCACACACACCTAACTACACCTACCCGGCTCTCAGTTTTAATCTGTCATTTCACACTTGCAATAGCAATTTGGCTGCTGACTGTGACAGTGCTGATGCCGAGATAGAGGGAGTGAGTTGAGCTGATTTCATCCTGCAGTGGGTGTCTCTGCTGTGCCTTATTTCAGGGTTTGTATATCCTTGGCCTTAATGCTATTGCCTCATTACGTGTCATCACGTGTTTTCACTTTGCTAATTAAGGAATGGCTTCTTTGTGGGTAAAAGAGCTGATTTGAAGTATGATTGTTCTGAGGGTGGGAGGTTAAGATCGTTGAAAAATACACTGAGAAAACAGTTTTTTTAACAAAACGTTTAGCTGTTCACTTACTTTCACAGGAAGCTCAGAACCTGAAATAGCTGATGTCAGACACAGCACCAATCTCAGCTGAGCAAATGGAAAATTTATGAGTAGTTATAGAAAACATCTAATGCTTCCTATATTTTGATTTTCAAACTTAACTAGATACTTCCTAGAGTCCTGTTTGATAACTTGTGCTCTATACCTCTTCTCAATCCAGGGGATGGCCCCTTTCCAGGAGTGATTGACATGTATGGTGATGAAGGAGGTTTGATTGAATTTAGATCCAGTCTCCTGGCTACCCGTGGTTTTGCTGCTCTTTCTCTGCCATATTTTGACTTTGAAGATCTGCCTAAGGTCATGAAAGAATTTAAACTTGAGTACTTTGAGGAGGCAGCTAGATTTCTACAGCGTCACCCAAAGGTGAGTGTAAGGAGAGATCTCTCCAGACAAGGAACTAGGGAAGATTTGGTAGTCATGCCCATGTGATGGCAGTGATTTTCTTGGAATGTCTTTGGGCAAATTTAGGCCCCATAATGGAAAAAGTGTAGGTCCTATGTAGGCAGCTATGCGTATCACTGCAGAGTGTATTTCTTCCACCACAAGCAGGCTAATAAATAAATGCACACTGGAAAATTGACAAATCCTGATCACGAAGACAATGAAGTGCTGGAACAACCTTCAACAGGAGCAGTGGTGATGTATGTATGTGGTGTTGTTTGTGGGGTTTTGTTTGTTTTAATGAAAGCAATTAGCTTACGAGAGAATGGCACAGCACTATACAGTGCTACAGATGAATTGATTTGATAACTTGAGATGTTCCTTTGTTTTAATTTCCAGGCTAGAAAAGGAAAAGGCTGAATACATATCTAATTCTCAAATGTCATTTGTGAGATGACTTTATGTGCCAGGGGCATATTTTGCAATTGACTGTATTTGAATTTCCCGCTGTTTGGGAGAAAATATTTGCAAAAAAATACACAGCGGTTGAGTTCCAAGTGATTGTAGTTGTTGTTCCTAGCACAAATGTGATACCAGTGTTATTTTATGGTGTTTGACATTTATTATTGGCTCTGAAGAATAAGACACCTGGGAGAAGTCTGGATCCAGGCTATAGCTTTCCAACAGGTCACACCAATAATTAACTTTTTTTTTTTTAATAACAACTTCAAAGACATTTAATGGTTAACCCTATTATAACATATATTTATTCTTTTCTTCCTCTCTTCCCCGCAACCCCATCTTAATCTGAAGGTGAAGGGGCCAGGAGTTGGAGTGATTGGGACTGGGAAAGGTGCAGAATTAGCACTCTCCATGATCACCTTCCTACCAGAAGTAGTGGCTGCTGTCTGTATCTCCGGCTGCAGTTCGAACACAGTTGCAGACCTCCATTATGGTGAGATAACTCTGCCTGGGCTGCGTTTTGATATGAATAAGGTCAGCGTTTCTGACACTGGTGTATTTGACACTTTTGAAGCTCTGGATGACCCAGCAAATCCTGCCAATTCCTCTTGCACAATCCCCATAGAAAAAGCAGAAGGTCACTTTCTCTTAGTAGTAGGGGAAGCTGATCGTATGTGGAAGAGTTCCTTATACGCTGAGCTAGCAATTGGGCGCCTACGCCAGCATGGGAAAGAAAACTTTGAACTACTGAGTTATCCAGGAGCAGGCCACCGAATCGATCCTCCTTCTACTCCGTTTTGTCAGGTAGCTCTGGATCGTGTTCTGGGGGTGCCTGTTTTGGGGGGTGGAGAGAGCAAAGCGCACGCCTATGCCCAGGAACACTCCTGGGGAAAGATTCAGGAGTTTCTGCACTTGCATCTGGGATGAACACTTCAGCACCTGTAAGTTGTTGCTGCTGAGCTTGAGCTGCCAAAATGATTGGAGAATTGGAGGTGTTGACTGAGAAAAGGTCTGAAATATGAAATAGCCAAATGACAGTTACATATATAAATCAAGACAGAAAGGGATTGATTTGCACTAGCCCAAGTTATTTTAAGTAGGTATGCAGAAGAGAAATGAAGCGATAATAAGTAGTCTGCACTGTAGTACAAATTTGAGTCTGAACTGGTCATGCTATCAAGAAACAAGTGTCTGAAGAAAGCACTTTCTGATAGGTGCTTTCTTGCAATTTATGAATCAAAGAACTTCACTGCCAGCCCGTACCCTTAGAAATGAGAGATTGTTTTTCACCTGGGAGAACATTGGCAACCTGTGGGCCATGAACTTTGATATCAAAATGATGAATGATTCTGGCTTTGAGTCTTAGGTTGTCTTAGCCTAGAACTTTCTGATTTATAGCCATACACTTTGGTACTTTGGATGTGTTTTCTACTTGCACAAAGCTGGGGATCTTTATTTGTAATAAGTTTCTTATACATTGGCCTGAAACGGAAGTGGTCTTCTGTTGGAAACAATCTTGCCTCTTTCCAACAACAGCTATGCTTAAACTGAGAAAGTGAAGAGTACTTCCATCTATGGAGGAAGGCAGCACCAGTGGTGTCCTGTATTGGGGATGTAACCATCTGTTCCTATAATGCCTTGGGTGGGCAGCTGACTCTTGGGAGCATCGAAATTCTGTAGCGTAGGACAGTTAAATGCAGTTATACCATCTGCAAATCTTACTTCTCTCATTACTTGTTTTAAATTATTAACACTTGCTGTTAAGCTAGAGTTTAATTACATGTGGAACTCTCTGTTAATGATGTCAAGAGGTGCTGACAGCTGTTACTAGGAAGGAAGGTGAGAGACAGAAGAGCTGGCAAGTAGAAGACTGTAAGACAGGTTGTAAAAAGCTGTCCTCTTGCAGTAATGATCACAATATAAAATAATACTAAAGAAAAGGGTAATCTAGGATTTTCTGACCCAGGCTGCCTGAGATTGTTTTTCATCCTAATTAATCCTAGTACCTAATTGTTCTCTACCATTTAGGTAAAAAGAAACAATTTCTTCCCAAATGACTCTTGTCTGTTACGAGGGTCTTGCCAATGCTGAAGGCCTATTTGATAAGGGCTTCTACTGATACAATTCTCCTTCCAAGTCAGACCTGTTTCAGAGCTGCCCAAAAGGAAACAAAACCGTCATAAACGATAGTGAATTTTGCTCTGCTCTCAGGGATCTTTTCTCTCCAGTTGACTATCATTATGGTCAGGCCTGATTAGCTTTCTGCAACTCATATTACTCCTTATCATTTGAGTGAAGTCACTTGTTCTCCACACACCATCACTGCCAGTTATTTATCCATACACTCCTTACAAGATAAACTTCATCCACTTAACTCCAGGGAAGATGTCCTCGCACCCCACCTTCCTCAACTCTCTGGCTGAAGAGCCTTTGCAGAGTCTTATCTGATGCTCGGACCTCCACTCATCCTGGCTGCCCCAGGAGTCCCACAGCACACCCTGATGTGCACCCTGAGGCGCTGCTCATCCTTACTGCCCTTCCTTTCTTCCAAGTTGCAGCTATTGAGAAAAGGGTTGCGGATAGGTTTCTTGTTCTGTCTGTCCTTGCCACATGTATCTTCAGCAGCTGGAGCTCCCGGTATAAATGCCCTCCCTTAACACTTGTGACCCGCTCAGGATTGATACCTGTCTCCATACTGCAGTCTGAGCACAGTACAGCAGTTGCTGTGCGGCACTGCAAGCTGGAGACTCAGAAACGAAATGGACAAAAATAAACCCAAACCATAACAGGTAGCTTAAAAGCCTCCAAACTTTGTTTCAAAAGATCAAACCCTTAAAGTAATTCAATATTAGATATCATCAGATACCTGCGATTTAAAGACAAGTAAAGTACTTATTTAAAAGCAAGGCAGCGTGAGAATTAGACACTGTGTTTTGAGTAGCTCGTGTGTTTGGCAATGAGGTTCTTTATTTCTCCTCCCTCGTTTAAATGAAATGGCTTATTTTACTGCGGAGATGCTTTGATGGACAGATCAGGATACTCCTGAACATAACCATTCACTAGACGGCTCGTAGGAAACCGACCAGTTTTTGTACTAGTGTTTTGTATTTCACACTGCTGCTGCGAGACCAAAACTACCTTACAGACACAGCAAAGACAGGCGCAGCTACTGCCCGAAGCGTGCGTTAAGCTGGGTGCCCGGCTCACGTATTACTTACATCGTTTCGCACGCCTTCCGCGGCAGACGTCCCGTAGCGTTCCTCCGATGGCTGGATCCACCTGATGAGCTGGGCGTGGAGGGCCGCAGGAAGGAGGCCAAGGCAAGGCGGGGATCCGGGCCCGCTTTAGGAGCCGCGGCTGAAGGAGCGCGGGCAGCAGCCGGGGGGCGCCGGCCCGGCACGGGTTGTCACCTGCCAGTCGCTGTAACCGTCACCGCGTGGTTTTAATTCAATAAAAAGCGCACGGGGGCGGGGCGCGGCCTTTCTGTTGTCCGTACCGGGGCCGGGACGGGGAGAACGCAGCCCTCGGGCCGGGGCCGGTCGAGAGGAGCGCGGCAGCCCCTGCGCCGCGTCCCACAATGCGTCGCGGAGCGCCCCCTACGCGACTTCCGGGCCGGGCCCGTGCGCGGCGGCGGAGCTCCGCGGTCGCCAGGTGTGGCCGCCTCCGCGCTCGGCCCCCCGGCCCCGACGTGTCCGCGGCGCCGCGCATGCGCGGGAGGCGGCCGTGCCATAGCAACCGGAGCGTCGACGGTAGCAACGGCGATGGTGGGTGCCGTCGGCGTCGGGCGGGGGGGGGAGGCCGGGCGCGTGGGGAGGGCGGCCCGCGGCGCCGGTCCGCGGGGAAGGCCGGCGGCTCGGGGAGACCGTGCTGGGGCGTCCCCGAGATGCGGCGGCGGGGGGCCGCGCTCCGGGCCGAGAGCGAGCGAGGCGGGGCGGCGGCGGTCCCTCAGCGCCGTTCCCGAGCGGTGCTCGCGCGGGGCGGGCCGTGCGGCCTCACCGTGCCCGGGGAAGCGGGGCTCCGGGCGGCTCGCAGCGGCGGGAGCTGCGGAATCCCGCCCGCGGCCGCCGCGGTGCCGCCGCGTGAGAGGCGCTCCCGCCGCTCGTCTGTGGGGCGGCGGCGTCTGCAGCGCCGCACGGACGGGCCCGCTTTCTCCTGCCGGGCGGCTCCGACCCGCTCCTGGATGCCGATAAATGGGTGCAAGCGAAGGCAGCGCCTCGCTGGTGTCTTGGCGGGACCCAAGCTTGTACATGCTCGGTGTCAGCACGCCCCGTGCCTAAGGACCTCTTTCTGAGAAGAGAAATATTTCAACTGTTATAGTTTAAATACATTTGTCTTCTGCTAAGATGCTGTATTCCTTGTTCCTGGAGCCCTGATGGCGGTGTCTCAGGTGGCCGCTTCGGCCTCCGGTGGCTCTTGAAGCTTGTGACTTCCTTTCATCTCCATCCCTGCGGGAGGCTGTTCAGCATCCATCTGGGGATCCCGAAAGCAGCCTTCTGAGGGAGGCTTCCCCGTCAGCCATAGCGCCTTCTGCCGCAGGAGGCTGCTCTAGGGAAATTTCCAGTGCACTTCAAAGAGCAAAACAAAGTCATTGGCGCACGTTCTCTTGATAAGCCCCGTGCTGATTGTTTCCGTGCACACCTGGTTCTCAGCTTTAAATCTGGCCTGGTTTTATGCATGGGTTTGGGACAGCAGGAGGCTCTGTGAGGGACTGAGGTCATGCCCCCAAATAGTACAACAGTTGGCTAGCGGAATTGTGGAAAAGTGCTGGAAACTTCCCGTCTGAAAAAAGAAACAACTGGAAGCCACTTGGCTTAGCTGTCACACTGCTATGGCTGCTAATTGGAGTCTCAGGAAGACTGCTGGAGCTGGGGTTGTGTTCTGAGCAGGAGGTGATCACTTGGGTTGGCCTGCAGGCACCAAGGAGGCTGTGCCGTGGCAGAAGTTCACCCCCTGTCTGCAGCTGGGCCTGGAGCTGGCTGTTGTGTGGGACAGACAAGATGAACTCAAAGTCCTCGGTCTGGATGGATCTAAGCTGTTGCTGGGCATTCTGTGCCTGCAGCTGTTCTCTTGGCAGCTGTCATGGGTCTTGTCTTTTACCACTGAGTCCAGAACTTTCAGTGGTCTAAAGTATCTGGCATTAAAGCTTTGTGACCTGAGGTGAATTCCCCTAAGATTTTTGGCAGTAGTTTCTTAGTTTTCTTTCTTTTTTTTTTTTTTTTTCCTTTTTTCTTCCCCCCTCCCATTTTTTGGGGGGGATCTGATTACTAGAAAAGCAGCCATGTGTGGTTGTGCTACACTGGATTTTTTGGAAGGAGACTGTTGGTCAGTACTGGTGGGATGTCAGTCTCTGGAGCCCTTTTAACTTGAAAAATGTCATTGAATGTGTTTAGGATACATCAGTTTCTCTTCACACTACTGTTATGGATATTGCCATTTGGTTGTAATGGGACTGATGTGAGGCAGAAAAGTTGGAAGTTGTGGCACTGTTGCTCAGTGAGTCGATGAGCCTCCTATAAGAGCACTCAGATTGTTTTTAACTGAAAACGTATGTGTTCATGTTACGTGATTTGATGACAAAATTGTTAGAAAAAAAGAAATAGACACATTTCAGGTTGCTCTTGATTTTGGGGAAAAGAAGAGGTATCTTCTTTTCCCCAGTGAATTCTAACAGGCTTTATCATTCTGTCTGTTCGCACACTGGCAGATTACTAATGCACAGTAATAGTGTGTTTTCATAAGAGTGTCAGACCACATTTTTCAGTGCAATAATTTCTAATGCCCTTGAATTCAGTTGAATTTCACTGTCAGAGGTGACAGTGCCCAGATTATGCTCCAAGCTGGGCAAGCGAATAAAGTCAGTAGAATAATGTACTCTCATAAATCCAGCTTATTACTTCTGAAAATGCTTCCGAGTTCCCCAGAAAATAAAATGAAGAGCCACTCCAGGAGTTGTAGCTTCTTAGTGTCAGCTAGAGGAAGATCCTGCAGGGAAGTGTTGAAAGAGGGGAGAGCATCAGGACAGGAAAAGAAAAAGGGGAGAAGTGAAGAAGCCAGCTGAAAATTTGCAATGAACATTCATTTTAATTTGTTTGTTTTAGGCAAAAGCAACAACTATCAAAGAAGCTCTAGCCAAATGGGTAAGTAATAAAAGAGTATCTAGCTGCTTTGCAGTACTCAGTGGTATGGATTTGTGCTATATTTAATAATATTTTTTCAGGCTTACAGTAACAAATGTTTGCTAGAAGTTTCACAGAGTAAACATTCTGTTCCTATTATCGAATAATAATCAGTTCTTTTGGATTTTCTGTGTGGTCTTGCTAAATTGATATGTCTGGTAAAGATGAACCTCTTTTGCTCTCTCACCTTATTCTGCTGAATACGCATTGATAGAAGGCCTGAGGCTACAAAGAAATTTAAAGTTGGAGATGCCATATGTTGCATTATGCCCTGTTCATTTTACCCGAGTACGGTTCTTCCCACAGGGTGAACAAGTATGAAACACTGACTGTACTGAAGTCAGTGAACCTTCTGTATTGGCAGGTAGTGCTGTCCCTCACATTGTCCATTGTGCAAAGCTGAGTTTCTTACTTGTTTTTAAAGTACTGTTTTAATGTAGACATCATTTAGTACCTTCAGTATTTCACATTTTATTTTCACCTATGTTGGTATACCCCACAAACTTCACTCTTGCTCTCTTAGTTAGATTGCAACAGCTTACAGACGTTTCTATTACTAGAGATATGAGCTGAGGGTTTTTTTTTTTTTTAAGTGCTTTCCTTCTCCTCTCTCACTCTTTCTGCCCTCCGAAACCTGAACTTCATGTTTTCTGTTAAAGATTTATTTTACATTTGCTCCTTTCTCACGTCTCTCAGAAGTAGTAGATCCATGTCAGCAAGTTTCCAATAATGTTAACTACAAAGTGCTGAGCGCGCTGTTCTGTTCATGTTGTTTTGGAGGAGGAAAATTTTCCCTGTACTGCTACTATTCTGTGTCTGTGTGACTTATAACATTGGATCTGCTGTTGTGTTGCATTCCAGATGTATTTCTTCCCTTTGGCATAAGGGTTTACCTGCTCTCTACAGTCAGAACAAAATGAATTAAATCAAAGCAACTTTAACTTGGCAATCAGGTAGCTTGTTCTTAAAAAAAGTGCTGTTCTACCTGTGGTTTCTCTGTGCTTACGGTGGTATTCCATCTGAGGTTTGTTCCAGAGGTGGGTGGCAGCCTGGAAGAATCTTCTTTCTTGAACTGCTCGCTCCCCACCACAGGCCATGTTAGGAGCTCCCTCTCTGTTCTGTTTTACGAGATAATGTAATTTTGTCTGTTGGTTTAAGGCGACTGTAACATTATAAGCCAAGGCTAAATGCAGATAGGGACAGGGTCATCCTTGTTGTTAGAAAATTGAAGTTTCAAGTTTGTGTAGTGACTCAGTTTGAGCAGTTCACCATATTCTAGCAAAACGTGTGGCACACTTGTTTACTAAATTGCTAATTATGAATAAAAATACTATCATACTGAATTTGGGCAGAGGTTGGAATATTTAGTGAAACATGGCAACATAATGCTCTGTTAAATTAAGTTGCCTGAAGTATTTTGGGCACGTAGGACAAAATGATGTCTGATCTTGTGCTGTACTATTCTTACATGTTTCTGGGAAGCAATTAATTTTCTTCTCAAGTAAAGATATAAAAGTGACCTCAGCTCTCACTTTTCATTAGCTGCATAAAAATGGGGGAGAAAACAAGACTCCTTGTTTTGAAAACAGAACAGATTTCTCCTTTGTTAACAGACCTCCAGTCCTCCCACTGAACGCCGAGTGAATCGACAGAACGTTCCTTTTGTGCTGTCAGGGAAGCAGCTGTCACAACTGGTGTTACTGCTGAAAAAGATACTCGGTCCAAGTGTTGAGTGGATAATTACCATCACTCCAGAATTTTAAAAGATTTCACAGAGTATATTTTTTTAATAAACACACCCAAATGCTGCAGTTACGACAATTCTTCTAAATCTCTGAACTTTACAAAGTATTTAATCTAGAAAATCGTCAACTTTGGTTGTAAATAGAAAATCTATCTTCTAATGTACTCTCTGAAGCGTGAAATCTTCCACTCCTTTCTAATGACTAACTAAAAGTGATTTTTTTTGTTGTTGTTGTTTAGTGAATTCTGTGAAAAACAAGGATTTATTACTTTCTTTACACTACAACTTATCTGATTTCTAATTGGCCTTTGATTCAAAGGTGGAATATTGTCAGTCCAGACACTCAGAGCTCTCTCCTCTCTGTCCTACACTGTTGGTTTTTTCTTTTCCATTTTTTGTGAAGAGTGTAATCAGTTTCTCTTTTCACGTGTGTTCTATAGGACGTAGAGCTGAGTTGCAGGCTTGAGGCTGGGCGCCAGCTCCACCTCAGGGGAGCAGCAGTCACAGCTCCCATTTCAGGAGAAGGAATACATGGGAGCTATACAAAATGGTTAAAGCCGAGGAAAGATTTGAGGAAAGTGCTGTTGAGATTTCCCCCCAGAATGCACTCCCCTGCCTTCTGAGTTTGTGGTGTGAGTTGGGTGTCAGTTCTCAGTTTTCTGAGTGAAGAGGAAAGGAGATTTCAGTCAGAGATTTTAAGGATGTGCTTCTGCTACATAAGCTTCTGGCCCTAATTGAGGCTCCCACATGTCAGTCTTCACCGTGATTCAGAGTTTCAGACCTCCAGTTATTCTCAGTTTCTTTTCAGGAGAGGACACCTGAATTAATTTGATTAAATGTAACCCAAATTTAAAAAGAAAAAAAAGAGTATTTAATGTGTATGTGCTTTTAGTATCTTGGAACTAAGCTACTCTTCCACTCTTTATACTGCACTAGCAGGGCTCTTGAAGCACAGTATTCAAAATGCTTTCTCTTTTCAGCTATTTATTTTAGTAGTATATTGGAATTACCTCTGTAGTAATTACATTCATAGGAATGTTATAGTACAGCAGTTCTTAGTGATTTTTGTGCAGTGAGCATATTCTTTACCTTCTCTTTTCCTTAGGAAGAAAAAAATGGCCAGAAGGCTTCAGAGGCAAAAGAAGTGAAACTGTATGGCCAGATTCCTCCTGTTGAGAAGATGGATGAATCTCTCTCCACTCTTGTTAACTGCGAGTAAGTTAAGCTAAAGACAAGTTGGAAACCAAGCATTCTCTTCTATTTGTACTAATTTGGTTAACGCGCCCAAATGGCAACATGTAGTGGTATGCAGGTTATCTAATTAGCTCTAGGTACCAAGTCAGTTCAGCTGCTGTTTAGCTGAGAAAAATGTAGTGTCGTCTGTGTAAGTGATAAGACAGAGAAAAAAAGAGATGGAGCCAGGACTTTCCAAAAGAAATTAGAACTGCTTCAGAAATAAGTTTCCATGCACTTGTTAAGGCTATGCTTAAAAAGGTCATCCCGTATGTGAAGTTAGTAACACGTGGTACTGTCCTAGAACTAAACAAAGTCACAGAAATCATGATATTTGAGAGAAGAATGGACAGATATGTCTAGCGCAGTGGTGGTTAGGTGTGGAACTCTTCTAATATAGTGATCCCTTTTGTTCTGAGAGTTGATTGTTCTTGCTTTTAAAGGAAGCTTTCATTGTCTACAAACTGCATTGAAAGAATTGCCAACTTGAACAGCCTAAGTAAGTGACAAACCAGTGATTATAATCGTTTTCTAGTTGTGTGGATAGGAAATATACTACAATTTGTAATGTGTGTCTAGCTTTATACCTTTTCTTATCTTTTTTAACTTCTTCCTCTTAGAAGATTACAATCGACTTTAAAATTATCAGTCTTCCTGGAGAATGCATGTTTAGCAGTAAAGACGTACTAAAGCATGTGTCTCTGTGCAGTCTTGGCAGTTGTTTTGCTGTGCAAGCTTACTAAAAAAAATCCATCCAGAAGTAGCTTTGTAGTCTCCAGTGGGCTTGAGTTATGATATTCAACAGTAATTGATTCTAGAATGATTTAACAACTAATTTCCACATTGATATTGGAGACAGTCTGCAGTTCAACAGCATAATAATTGTGGCATAGTCTGTTGCTGAGGTCACAGTGTTGGGGGCCTGGATGGAATCTGGAGGCGAGACAAAATAGAACTTCATGGTCTGTCTCTTTAAGGTACAGAATATGAGGAGCTCACAGTTACTATTGCCTTCCTTGAGAGAAATCGATGCTTACAGCAATGAAAAACCATCAAGTAATTATTACGTGTTTGCTTTTGTTCATTGCAAAAAGGATTCTGAGAAATCCTCTTAAGCGTCCAGCACTATTTTCAGATAGAAAAGATTAATATTAGTGTGCACATGTGATATTGTAATCATGCTGAGTAGGTAATTCTGTGTAAATGACCACACCTCATTATCCATGCACTTGAGGAGGATTTAGATGATAGCATGATAGCAACAAGTGTCAGATTTCTGTTTAATTGTGTGCAGATATTTCTTGAGGAACTTCTTACTGCTTCTAAAATATTTAATATCTCAGTACGAAAGAACAATAATAGCAGTTAGAAATGACTTGAAGGTGTGATGTTTTCTGCAGTCTTTCATTTTTGTGTTTGTAACTATCCTCTCATCTCTTAGGAATTTCTAAAGCTAGTGCAGACTTGTACTTTCTAAACATGTGGTAAAGAGAGAATGAGGGTAGCCGGCTAGTCTCTCTCCTATGGATGGGGAACTGTAGGGATAGTCTGGAGAATATTAGCTGTAGCTGACTTTAGACTTACTGATGATGAGTTTTCATATTTTGAGCCATGGCAATGTGCTAAGCTGTTGCATTGAAAGAGAAGAAGAATTCTCATTGTGCCTCAACTTTTTAATCCTAACTACTCTTTCTGTTTTAGAACATCTGCCAGTTATGGTTTCATCCCTGCATTCCTGGAGATAGAACATACAATTACCTATTTTAGATCAGCCTCTAATCTTTATCTGTAGCAATCTCCAGCCACTACATTGCTATCTATGCAGCTTGTTGCTACTGGACTGGGGCATTCATTAGTCTCACCATTAGTTATTGTAGTTATTACTTATTTGCTTGTTTATACCTGCAAGAAAGCTTATGTGAATAGTGAAAAGGAGTTTTCTGGAAAGACTGCTATTTTGTCATAGCTTTGAGTTACACTAATATTACACTAAACTCCAGCAAGAGTAGCTCACTTCAAAAGCTTATTTGTCTGAATTCTAAATTAAGCTGAAATATTTCTTATCAGACTTCTGTCTGACACCTTTGTATGCTACTTCTGTACAGCCTTAAAATGAGATTAGAACAATTTTATTTTTTAACCTGGAAAAGAAAGGGTAAGAACTATGTGAAATCAAAGCTAGCAAGCTAACAGTTAGAGCTCAGGTGGAAGATGAAATTCTAGGGTTTTTTTCAGTATTTATGTGGACTGAATTTCAGTAGGTAACCTACAAATGAACAACTCTGTACTTGTGAGCACATTTCTGGGTTGTCCTCTGCATCAATTTCCAATCATCGTCAGTTTTTATTTCTGTTGTGTCATTCTTTCTTAAGATAATCTTTTTGGAATGTAGGTTTTTTAGGAGTATGGAGTTTTACCTGAATTATAACATCTTCTTACACTGAAGAAATCACTTATGAATGAGAAACTTTCTGTTATCTATTTCAGAAAATTTGAGGATTTTGTCTTTGGGAAGAAATAATATTAAGAACTTGAATGGATTGGTATGTGCATCTTAATCTTAACTCCTTACTAACCAAGTGGAGCACTATCCAGGATGTGGGATAATTTCCCCATGTTTATAAGTCTTGGCTGAATTTTATTCCCTAAATTTTCATTTTATTCTACCACAATGGTATGCTTACTCTCTTTCATATTATTTCTGAATTTTCAGATAGTTTTTGTTTGTTTGTTTGCTTTCGTGGAGAAGATGGTGGCAGGTCTGAATCTACTGGGCATAGGAAGAATAGTTGTGGAAACTAGATCAGTTTTATTATATCTGTATTATATCTGTATTAAAGCAGAATATTTTTTCAATTAACTTTGTTAAAAATAAATATAGATATTATTTTCTTCCTTCTCAGATATTGCGTGTTTCTCTTGCAGAATATTCCAACTTAAAACTATTGCCACCTCCAGAGGTGCCATTATCTCTTAAGCGTAAAATGAAATCAATTTATAATGACTGGTTTATAGAAACACTTTTTTTCTGAGGGAGTTATAAAAGCAACTACAGGACCAAATATACATGCACTTGAGACAGACCATTCCCTAATACTGCATAAAAACCCCTGTGAAAGAATTGCTGAATAGCAGCCATTGTGTGCACAAACGGCCACATTTGTCTCCTCTGTCCCTATGCCTTAAGAAGAACTGCTGTTCCTTCTCTTATTCTAATACTGTGACTTTTGACCTCCTAAATACATTTCATATCCTTTGCTTTTATTCCCATGAGTATTTGTAATACTTAATTAGAAACCTGCTTAAAAGGAAACGAAGACCAATATATCTTAGTATTTTCTTACATGAGATGACCTGCAGGGGTGACGAAGGGAGAGTCTGAAGAATAAGGACTTACTTTCACTTACCTGAGTAGCTCTGTCATTTTCCAGGAAGCAGTTGGAGATACGCTAGAAGAGCTGTGGATCTCGTACAACTTCATTGAGAAACTGAGGGGTATCCGTGTAATGAAGAAGCTGAAGGTTCTTTATATGTCCAATAATTTGGTGAAAGACTGGGGTAAGCCATTCCAGTCTGTTCTGCAGCTTCCTATGGATTATGGTGAATGCATGAATAAGCAAGTTAAAAAATAGTTCTCTGTGTTCTGGGGCTTAAGTTTTACTGATAAGCCTGCAGAAGTACGCAGAATCCCTAAATGTTTCATGCAAGAAATTAAAAATAGGAAATTGAATTTAAATTCTAAGCCCAATGGAGTTTGCTCTTTGAATCACCTTGCTTGGACTTCTTTTTATACCTGTTCCTTAACCTGCTCCCAGTTCAAGTCCAAATGATCCCTATCTGTTTGTATCCCAAGCTATTTATATGTGCACAGAGTTTGAAAGGAAGGTTTGGTGCAGATGTACTTTCCTTGTTCCATAATCTGGTTGGTGTTTTCATATTTATGCTTGCAGCAGAGTTTGCGAGACTGGCAGAGCTGCCATTATTAGAGGATCTGGTGTTTGTAGGCAATCCACTGCAAGAGAAATACGCCTCTGATCAGAAGAACAATTGGATTGAAGAAGCAACCAAACGGGTGCCCAAGCTGAAAAAGCTGGATGGTGAGTTTGGGGCATGACGCAATTGATCTAAGTGACAAGAAGTGACAAGCTTAGTAGAAAGATCAGGGAAATAAATTGTAACCTCAAAAACTCATTTGTGCAATCTTGCACCAGCTGCAGGATCTTCTGAAAGGTTGTCCACGTGGTGTGTAGCCCACAGGTTGGGCTTTACTCTTGAAGTTATCCAACTAAATAGTTTTAGCACGTCACTGTATTCCCCAGAGAAGTGGCCGTGGCACTGAGCTTGGGTTGCCAGAGATCAAAGAAATGCAAAGCATCAACGCTCTCAGACATGTTCTGATTTTAGGGTGGTCCTGTTTGGAGCCAGGAGTTGGACCGCAGCAGGAAATAGAATTATTTCCTCTTTCTGACAGCCTGACTCTTTCCTAGTTTTGATAGTCCAGATTAACTTTCAAGCAGATCAGCATTAACTGTACCTTCCTCTGCATAATCTCTTCATAAATCTGTAGATTTTCTTATCTTTTCTTTTTTTTCTTTGTAGGTATCCTTGTTATTAAACAAGAAGAAGATGAAGAAGGAGGAAACTGATGAGACTTTTGTGTTGGGCATTTAATAACTTAAATATCTCCAGATTGCTCAGCACATAGAACTTTTATATAAATGTTTGTTTTGAAGAAAAGCTTTGGGCAATTTTTAAAAGACCAGCTTATCTCCACAGTCTCTTACCCAAAGAGTTATTTACCAAACTTCAGGCACACCAATTTCGTCAAGCTTTTGCCACCTTCTGCAGAGACCAGTGGAGTTGAGTTCATCTTCTGTTTGGTTAGTGAGAGATCTGAACTAATACCTAGCTATTCCTAATTCCTGATTAGTGGTGCTTATTGTTTGCTCTTGTGTTATAACAGAGCAATTTTAGCTTGTTAGATGCAGCTGGCCAACATTCAGTTGAAACACCATGGCTAAAGGAACAACGTTACATTTTAGAACAATGTTATAGACTTTGTTGTGTTTAATCCTGTTATGGGAATCCCTTAATAAGTATGTGAATTTGCCTTTTCATCCCCTTAAGTATTATGCCAAATAGGCCCAGAAGTTGTGGACATACGCACAAGAAAGGTAATGGGCTCATGATCTCTTGTTACGGACTGTAAGTTTTGAATTGGGCTTCTTGCATTGGAACTCTTAACTTCATTGCTTAGAAGGCCATGTATAACTTATATGATGTTATTTATTTCAAAGAGGCAATGGGAATTCTTTGCATGGTTTCAGTGAGACTAAAGTATCTTTTTTTCTCTTTTTTATAAATTATTTTGATTGGAATGTGTAGACTATTAGCCTACAGCTGGTTCCTGTTCCTAGTCTTGTTTTGGCTCACTGATGGACGTAATCCTTCTCAGCTCTGGAATTTTCATGTAACTATAAGTAGGCTCAGAAACAAACTCAGAAACAAACAGTGAACAAGAGACCTGGGCTTGAGATGTAAAATTTTGGGTTTGGGATACTAATTTTTTTCTAAAGCAGCGAGTGAAATGTGTACGTGGTTACTGAGGAGGGTGAGACAAGGTGGGAAATGGGCATTGGAAAATAAGTATTGAAGATATACTAAACATGCTCTGTTGCACGTTAACCATTTTCAGTAAACCTCCCTATATGGCAGGTAACTATTTTTAGTGAAAAGCATTATGTAATGCTAAAGACAGACATAATTGCCCCGTTGGATGCAAATAATGTTCCCCCCTCTCTACTTCCTTTAGAAAATAGATCAACTCATCTAAGTGGATTTTTTGGCAGCTTGTTTTTATTGTTTTTAAGCTTTTCTTCTAATTCAGTGCATTATCTTGGTTTAAACTAGAAAAGTGTGCTTGCAGGTTTTAGAACAGACATGTAAGGGATAAAGGCAGAACACCACTTTTGTTTGTGAAAGAGTGGCAGGGGTTGATATCCTGGAAAGTTATGGGCAGGGATAAGTGGAAGTGGCCCAGGCTACAGTGATATTGATCTCAAGCTCCAGGCATAATTTTAGTAAAAGATAATTCTATTGCTCATCAATATCTAAGTAAAAGGTGTGAAGATTACAAGGAAATCAGAGCCTAGTTTCAATATATTCTTTCTTGTTATTCTGTTATTTTTAGATAAATGCTTAAGCATTCCAACTTAAACTGACAATTACAAATAAGTCTCAAGTTTGATTTAGATCCGTTTCTTAAAATAAGGTCAGAAGAACAATGGCAAAAGCTGGATTTATTTTACAGACTTTGTATTGTCATGTAATTTCTTCTAATATTATGCTTTATCATTAGGAAAGGCAGCACTAAGAAGCACAAAGGGAGAGAGAGTGAACAACCATTTCATGTTGGCCTCTTAAAACCAATTCAGTTCACTTGCAGCCAATCAGCTTTGGAAAAGTGGATGTGATTTGAAGGAGCACCTAGCTTGTGGCACGCATGGTCTTTACTGACCTCAGCTTTTGTGTTGGGGCAGCAGGGAATAGGCTTGGGCCCTTGCATAAAGTAATTAAAGTGTGCTTATCGTGAGAACTTCAAATGTTAGCAACAAATAGAAAAGCCAATTTCATGTGTGTGTGCAGCTGTTTTCAGGATAGAATATGCAGAATGTATGCATGGAGTCTGGCCAGCAGGCAATGCATTTAAATCCATGCACATTCAAAAACCAATGTGTACAGTTATGGTACATATAGCTTAATTAGCTCCTTAAAAGAAACAAGACAGATGAAAATGTTGTGCAGTGCTACATAATCCTACTGGTTAATTTTGTAATATCTAAATATGGTTTAAGTCTGTGCATTTACAAAGGCAGCATTAGATACAGCAGAGACACTACTTTAACTATTTGGGGACAATCTTAGGACAGAATCTTAGCATTCTAGGTGGAGATAGTTCTGTTGTCAAGGCTTGAGGAACGCAAAAAAGCAGTTCCTGGCTCTTGTAATTGACAAGTTGAGGCTCCACAGATTGATTACCATTAATCAGTCCAGCAGTAACTGTTGCAGTTTTTCGTTGGTAAAGCTGTGTATAGCATATGCCTATTGGCATCAGCTCTTTTCACAAATTAACAGCATAAATTCTCTTTTTGGAAACTGCATTATAAACATGAAAATAAAAACAGTCACTACTGAAGGAACAGGGCATCCAGTCTCAGCACAATTGTAGCAGCAGCAAGGTAAACTTAGAAGCTTTTCCTTTGCCTTTCACCCTCCATACTGCAGAGCCTTTACATGTAAGTTAACCCCTTTCTAAGTTTTAGCTTAATGTTATACATGATGAATTGTGGGTTACTGCCTAGCACAAATCAAAATCCCATGGACTTTACTAGCCCCGAATAAATTAAGTTTTAATCAATTTCTAAAATTTGCACTTTAAAAATTATGCACTGGATGTGGTAGACGACACAGATGATAGAATTAAAGCAGCTGATTTGCATGCAGATGGAGCTGCACTGTGTCATATATACACTATCAGAGATCAGACTGTGTGCTCAATAGAGTGGCTGAGCAGCAGAGTTAGATGCTGAAAGAATTCTTCTGTATTATTCTTTGCGCCTCCACATCTCACCACATCTAATAACGTCCTAAGCACATTATTATTCATGGATGAGAAAAGCACCCATGTAAAACTTGCAAGCCATGTGGAATTCTGCTTCTCCCACAGAAATTATGGAGGATTAGCATCCACTTAATTATATAGAGAAATATCCTACAATTAAATTAGAGATAGAAAATAGGTATTTTACTTGCTTGTTAGCACAGACCTCTCTTCAAAGAGATGATGTATGCAATGGTTATATTTCAAATGGCTGGAAAAATGTGAGAGGAGACCTGAGAACCAGCAGCTGATTCAGATTACAAGAGAAGTAGACCCATCTAGGAAAATCTTCAAGCAAGAAAGCACTTTTAACATCTACTTTTGATGACCTTTTGTATACTGTAATTTTGTAGCATGACCAAACTGTTAAAGTTGCTGTGTTTAACTTATTTAGGCTTATGTTTATAAATGAACTTCTGTGAAACTTGTTTAAAAATAACAATGCTATTTTATTAAAAAAAAAGTCTTTGACTATTGTGTAATGGAATAGGTGAGCTTTCAGAAATTAATTTTTGTTCTCATTAATTTTTCCTAGCTGCTCAGGGAGCAATGTATTTATAGTATGGAAATGCTGTCTCTTATTGCCTCTATATTTTAGAATAGGAAATAATTTAGGCTTTACAAATGTTGATCTAATTGTGATTGTTGTCATCTGATACATAAATATTTTTCAGTCTTTTAATACAGACATTGGTTGTCAGATTTATTGTTAGGTCCTAAGAGAAAGATCTGCTATTTTTATTTGGGGTAAAAAAAAAAATGCGAGTGCATAAAATAAGCGTAAGTCTTATTTTAGTACAAAATCACTGGTTTGCTTTGAATTCAAGCTCTGGGAATAGCATTACACAATCAACTCCATTCAGCCAGCTCAGGAGAAGGTTGCTGCTTAATGAACTTCTGTAATAGGAACTTCAGCCTTCAATAAACAGTGTCACCGAAATGTAGTTTCAAAACTCAGATGTAAATGAGAAAGCTTTTTACCCCACAGTTGTCACCCTCAATAGGGATTGGAATATCATCCCGCACTGATAGCTGTAGGGCTATTGAAAAACAGAGATCCAGGGAATTACTGTATAATTCCTCAATGTTGCTCCCTCAAAATACATTTGAGCTCAGAAAGCGCTGAAGTGCTTTATAAAGTCTCTCAGAAGTTGAAATAACCTCGGATCCACCCATTTAAAAAAGATGAAAACCAAACTGCCCTGAACTTATCATTGTCAATTTTCCATCATCCAAATTTAGTTTGCCTGGTTTTAGTGCAGTGCAGTCAGCCTGTAACACTTTTGCCCATAGGCTGTGATAGTGAAGCAAGTGCATTATTTTCTTTGCCATCTAAATACATACCACTTACTTCCTCACATGCTGTTGCTGATCAACATCCATATCTGCGGGGTTCAACTGAAGCAAGGGCTCTTACACTGCTTGACTAAATCATTCTCCTGTCATCCTTGCCAACATCCTGGAAATACAAGTTTGTCAGCTTAAAAAAAACAAGAAGAAATTACTCTGAGGTATGCCTTCCTAGCTTCTAACTGAGAGTTGAAGGAGATCAGTGAGCTATCAATACACATTGCTACAATCTCCGAAGGTAGCATCTTTTAAAAACTTTCATGCCCACACATGTTAGAAGGAGTGGATAAACAGCATAAACAGCCAGCTTGCAAAACAAAGGAAGCTTTGCTTTGAGGATGGAGGGAAGGATATTGATATTTAAAAACCCACGGCAAGAGATCCAGCTACTGCCAGAGAAATAAGCTAAATCAATGCTATGTTACCAAATCTATATTAAAAAAAAAATAGATCTAGGTAACAGACAGATGCCCTTAAGAGAGTATTCACTAACATGTACATTTAAACATTAAGAATGAGAAATATGATACAATATGAATCAACTGTTTTTGAGTTATAACCCACCATTGTTTCTACATGTAGCCAATTTAATTCCTGAACAACAAGAAGCACCACCTCTTTTCCCAACAGTTCCAGATGCATTTCACCTGGATGTACTGCCCTCTATCCCACCTACACCTAATCAGAAGTTCAGATGTAATATACACCCTCTTCAAGCACCA